AAAAAAAAAAAAAAAAAACTGCCTTGTCAGTCAGGTAATAGAAAGGGTGATCGGCTTCCTCCGAATAGTATAATCATGCATCATGCCATTGTGCGCACAGCCTTCTTTTCGCCCAGGATTTGGCATAATTTAAAAAAAAAATTAGATCGACCTGATGTTAAGCCGCAGCGGACATCGCCATCGACACAGCTAGGGCTGAGCCTCTAGGCTCAGCATAATGTTGCGTCTGATCCCCTTGTTGGTCATTACAAGGAGGGGCAACTTAATGGAAAGAAGGCATGAAATTGGAATAGTGCCATGTATGAGTGGAGTTGACTTATCTTCCAGAAAAGGGTACCTTTTGAAGTGCCGCATCCATCTGAACATAGATCGGCAATTGGCAACTTTGCCGGGGTAATTTCCGCATGAATGATAGTGCGCTAACAGTATACCCTGCCAGATAAACGATGTGGCTATACGAAGTATGTGCAATTGCCGTGATGGTTGTGGGGTATCGGATGCGCCATCTAAGGAAACGGGCTAGGTTCGAGCTTCTAGTTATATAGTCTTTAACAGGGGTTTCATCTATAATGATTCACAATATTATCTTAACTATCAGGAAAATATTGTATTTGATAGATTGATAACAACTGTTTCCTTGATTATCGATCATAATTCATCTTTCATCTAAACTGTCTTGATCGTGATAAGGGCCGAACCCCACTCTCATGGGGCATTGACGGCTATTGGGTGGCGCATTACTGAGACTTCGTATACAGGTCCTGTCATGCAGAATGGTACTTACTCAGAGACGGGAGTGGAAAACTTTCGGCGGTTGAGAATAGCCTTCACTTGCAAGGCATAATATATTAGCTGATTCATGGCTCCATCTCAGCGTAGCTTCGAGTAAGCAGCCTAGACCCCGAGATTTACATGAGAGCGACTGCCGCGCAACCTCAAGTGCCGTTTACCTTACTCGCGGGATGGTGGGTGCATGGCGTGGCTTTGCTCTTTCGGGCTTTCATCACCCCATGTATAAGCAACCTGGCAGATATCATGCCCCCACACTAGCCTTGTTTGAGAAGTTTAATGGCCAAGAATAGGTTAGTTTTAATGATGCCATGCGATGCTCAAGCCACAAGCCGGTTCCTGGATCAAGTGAACCGATCAGCTTTTGAGTCCTGTTATGGAATTAGTTGATCCCATGCTTAGTGTAAGTGACGCGTCACGCGAGCATGATGAAGCCGGAGCATCTACTAAAAAATACTCTTCGGTTTACGGCCGCACTACAAGGATACAAAGCTGATGCGCAAGGTCGGCCATACTATTCAATCTCGGTAACTAGCGACGATTGACAAAGTCTCTGGTAGTTGTGGCTGTTCCCTTCATTAGCGTCGTTGTAGCTGACTCGCACTGTCCCGGCGCAATTATACGAATGAACAACAGCGCTTAGAGGCCGAACCCTAGCATGAATGCAGTTTCAAAAAAAAATTAGAACAGCATATGCATCATTCCGCCGGTGAAGGGTAGTTGTATTTGCTCGGCCCCAGGATCACCGGGCGATTCGGGACCACAGGCTTTGTATCCCCTTCTCCTTAACTGCACTTCTTATAAGACCTCTCTTCCCCACACCCTAAATTTCCATCTCATATTGCCAACAGCTTTCCTCAAGATACACTCGTTTCTACCTCAAGCTTTACATTACACAGTCCTGTCAGACTTCCACGATGAAGCCTGTGTATTGGTCGCTTGCCTTTGGGCCTACTCTATTTCATATAACGGGAGCAGCAGAATCTGAATCCTCCAATAATGGCACGGCCGGGTCACTCGGGTAAGAACTTGTTCCGCCTTGTTAGATAACTTATCAGACCATGGCAGAAGTCTGATGCTAACCTACTTTACAGCCATATCGTGGTCCTGAAGGCAGACTTGGAAACTAGGCATATTGACGAGCATATTGACTGGGTCAACGGATTGCATAAGGGAGTAAACGGCAGAGACGACTCTAACCAAGGTCAGGGTATTGAACATACCTATCGCGTAGAAGCCATTGGTTTTCACGGCTACGCGGGCAGGTTCTCAGTTGAAGTGCTCAAGCAAATTACAGAGCACCAGCACGTAAGCATTGCATTACCTACTACTTTCTGTTTGGGAATTTTCTTTGAAAGGCTAACTTGTTCTTTGAACCTAGGTTGACTTTGTGGAAGAGAATCAAGAAATTGCGGTTGAGCCCGAGAGACGAGAGGAAGGCCAGGAGGCAGACAAGTCATCTGATGATTCGGGTCAAGAACAGCGCCAGGAGGCAGACAAGTCATCTGATGATTCGGGTCAAGAACAGCGCCAGGAGGCAGACAAGTCATCTGATGATTCGGGTCAAGAACAGCCAGAAAAAGTCGACAGTCCGCCTGCAAGCGTGGGCAACCAGAACAAAAAAAAAGCCATTGGCCTCCTGACCAGAGGGCAAGGGTAAGTACTCGAAATCTTGAGCCGATCTCAGGCCCCCAAAAAAAAGAAAGACAAGAAAGTAAAAGAGGTTTCTAACTTGTAATCAGGTACAACACTTTCCTAGAGAAGGGCAAAATTGTTGATGCCGTTATCTGGCCCCGCAACAAGAAGAGGGCTACGGCAAATGGAACGACTGTTCTCGCCGGCAATGAGACGACTCAAACTGAGGCAATTTTCGACTTCATTCCACCCACCACCGAAGTAGAGGACTTTAATGATGTCAACGCGACGCAATACTTTGAGATCTCCAAGCCCAATGAAATGAAAGATCGTGTCGCTGCCAATTTAAAGGAATTTAAAGAGCAAAAGAAGAAGGAAAAGGAGGAAAAGGATAGACTGCTTGAGACGAATGAGATACAAACTCGGGCCGAGGATCCAAAGTGCCCTGGCATCTTGAGAAAGGAGTACAAGTTTACCGAAGATTACGAGTATGCGCTCGATGTACCTGGTCGTGCAAGGCTCTGGCTAATATCCGCTGCAGTTCCTACTTGAAGCTTCTCGGTATCAGCGGTGGCGCAACCATCTCGGGTTGGGGCCAGAGTGCTTCTGTGTCCGGAAACTACCTAAATCAGGCAAAAGTAAGATTCATACATGGAAGTCTCTGGGACATGGCAGGAAAACTACTAACACTTGGTTATAGTTTGCTAAAAACAGCCTGACATATGTTGCGTTTCTTGATGTTGAAAGACAGATGACTACACCTGGTGGATTCGAGCTCAATAAGGCTAGATATAAGCCCGGACAATTTTCTCAAGAGTTTGGAAACCGGTGGATTCATGGTAAATATTTCATATCTCGGTCTTCCAAGATTTTCCACTAATCAAAGGAACAGGTTTCAAGACTGGCGGCAAGATGATTGCTCGCGTAACATTTACTTCCAAAGATAATACCAAGACATCAGATCTCAAGGCACAGTAAGTCTTGCAGCGAATTTACGATGCGTGATTATAAGATCCAAAGAGTAATACTGATACCTGCTTTGTTTAGTGCTGAGGCTTCATTGGGCTTCTGGAGCGTCAGGGGGGAATTGACCGCAGACGTGAAGAAGAGCATGGAAGAAGTGAACAAGCATACTAATGTGGATGTGTCACTCTTCTACCAAGGCGAGCTTGGTATCTTCATGGGAGAAAAGGAGGGATCGCCCACGGATATTCCGTCTGGATCTGCAGAGGCAGTGCTTGGGCAGGTCAAGGCGTGGGCCGACAAGTTTGAGAGCTATGCCTGCAAACACGACTATGCTTACGGGTAAGAAATAGACAAGCTTTTGACCAAAGGCTGAGAAAACCCCTCGCTAACAGCTTCAATAGTCCCCTTTTGGACGAATACGAAACAGTCCCAGGCTTCAGTGAACTGGAAGACGATATAGAAATTCCCGATTACGATACTGCGCATTTATATGTAAGTCGTCTCACGAAATTCATGTCTGCATCTATACTGACACCTGATTTAAGGCTCTTGAGATTTTGGCCATCATGGTCAAGGTTGAGGAGCAAAAGAAGATTCTCTCATCCGGTAAGAATCCCACTTTGAAGGTAACAATCCCTTCCAACTCTCTAACCTTTTATTCGCAGCCCCACATCTAGACGACAAGGCAAAGCGCACAATGTCTTTCACCGCGATCAAGATGATCAAGGCATGCAAGACATGGGTATGTTTGAGACTCACCCGTAAAACAAGATTGCGAGACTTGTATGCTAATTTCCCGGAATGCTAGGCTAAACTGGCTGAGCAAGATTTAGAGAAAGCGGAAGCACAAGCACTGGACCTTGTCGATCGTCTTAGCGCCCAATTCGTCGAAAAGTACAAAGATGACGTGGCCAAGACGCTGGGCCGAAATAGTCCCGAAAACGTCGCGCGGTGCAGAAAGGTGCAGCAGGACAGGGTCAAAGAGTGTGTACATTCTTCAAAAGAAGCCAACAGAGTAAAGGAATGCGGTGACGAGGGTTACCAGGCGTACGAACAGTGCAAAAATGGTGCTGCGAGATAGATGGAAAGGCAGAACTAGTTATTTTGAGATGCACATTGTCGTTGTGAAATAAGGGCGTAATAGGTACTAATTCAATTAGTACTATCAATTTTGACGGAACTAGATTCCGTTAGTAGTTAATGTAAAAATCAGTCCAGACGACGCCACTATCCTTTTACGTCCTAGGGTCGCCCGCTCGCCCGGTGGTTCCGGCCTTCGGAGTTTAACATAAATGCCGCTGTGATCTATAAGTGGGCGTCAGAATATAACCTTCAACACTCAAACGTTTCGTCAAGGGTTTGAAAAAAAAAATTCTCCCTCGACAAACATCGCGTCTTCACTATTAGGTTATTGCGGAGCTGAGAAAGCAGAACCGATCTCACTACCGAATGTTATAGAGTTGGCTATGAGGGAGGGAGAGAGGGAGGGAGGTTTGTTAGATCAGCCTCGCCTCTTCATTGATCCAAGTCAAGGGTAGATGTTTTAGCTCGTAGCTCTCCCGCCGCACTAAGAACGACTTCATCGAACAAAACTTACTTTACAGGGTGAATATGTGAAATAGAGGCCAAAACAGGACCAATAGTGCTGAGCAAACTCGTTTAGAAAGGACCCCGAATTTTATAACAGAGGGTTTTAAATTTTGTAATAACCCCACATAACGGCTATGTAACCCTTGACAGAACTTCTCGCATTCAACTATCCTTTGCCGGTCTTTCCTCCTGACACATACGTTAAGGCATACATTTAAAGCCACGTAAGCTGCTTAGAAGAGGCGCTTAAAGGCACTCTCCGAGGCGTTATCGAAGGCACGCTGGCGTACGCCGCTGGATACGCTGGAGGCACGACGCTGGAGGCGCGCTAGAGGTACGTCTAATACCGTGATCCCGAGTTCTTTTTTTAAGCACTGGCGACTCGTGACTTGAGTGGTTTCTTTTATAAAACTGCATTACTTTTACTACCCTGCTTAACCCCCTAGTCAGCCACAATCTACCCCTAGTTAACGAAGTACCTTTCCTGACAGAGGCGTCTCGTATACCTAGACAATAAGAGCTCTATATCTGCCTTTTTATGCCTTTTTCTGAGTCCCTTGACTTGAATTAAAAATGGTGACTTAGGGCGCTGGCGGCTATACTGGCCACTATACAGCTGCTGGACTTGCCACTGTACGGCTACTGTACTAGCTATACGGCGGCTGTACCAGCTGCACGCTTCTGTATAGGGAAAAGACGGTACTTAATGCTGTGGCCCGCCGTAGCCTACTGGGGCTAGCCCTGTGGATTCTTCTTCGGTGAATCCTGAGTCGCGAGTCTTAAAAAAACTCCGGATCACGGTATAAAGGTAGTTATCATGATAGAGACTCTAAGAGAGTGACTTTGATAAAGACCCTAGCTCTAATTAGCCGCTTAAGACCTATAAAATACTCTAATAGGTAATAAGTATGTTGAAAGATTTGAATCCTCTGTTGTAAAATTCGGGATTCGTTTGGAAAAGCTTTCTGCCGAGTTCTAAGTCATGGCTATACAGTGCGGGCAGCTACCTACCCGCCCCGCCTGCCTCATTTGGAGTATTTTTACATGGGAATAGGGGACACTAAACCCAACTTACATTCGTGCCTGCTTCAATTATGCTGAGTACTCCGGATCATCATATTGTAGCAGGGATTACATGGTAACAGAATATAAACCACTCCTGGTTTCTACTGAGTTGGCACCTGAAATCAATGCTGAAGGGCCAGGATACTTGCTTAGAACGAGTCAGCGTTTTGTAAGAACGAGTCAGCGTTTTACTTATAAGAACGAGTCAACGTTTTGAAAGATCACAACCCCTTATTAGCAAAGTAGGGTCAGGCACAAGTAGATGCTCTTTGTTCAACTATTTAAGCAGCCCAGCCGCCCCTGGGAGAAAGAACTGCAGAGCACATCACTTCCAATTCAGATCAGACTTCAGTCACTCACATATTCCTCTACATTTTCTATTACCACTCGCTTCCAAAATGAAGGCCGCCGTTCTCTTCCTCGCCGCGCTCGCGTCCGCAAGCCCCATGACCACTCGCCAGGCTCGCGCACAGAACGGTTGCGACTGCTCCAAGAACTTCCACTTGTCGCTTTTCGAGCAAGAGAGCTGCCCGGAGGGCTACGCGGACGTCTCTGCATTCTGGGACAAAGTCGAATGCGACCAGATCGGCTGCACCCAGCAGGACCACAATGTTCAGTGCGGAAATGTCATCTTCCAGGATGATGAATAGAAGGGAGTTGACGGAAACAACTGATGTGTGCTATTACGGGCACGGAGGAGCGTCACATCAATGAGATTGTTCAAGGGGTTGCGTCGGCTTGACGAGGCGCCATACATGGGCATCGTGTAACTAAAGGAAACCAGACGTCTGGGTTCCATTGGTAGTATCAGCTTTTGATTTTTGTATAGCTAGTTATGGACTTGACGTTTTCAACAAACCAAGCAAGACCTTTACTACAGCCACAACAGGCACTTATAAACACTTTTATGATACATTGCTTTAAAAGGCGTAATGATGGTAGTATAAAGATACCAGTGTAAATACAAGCAAAATTTCAGTAAAGAGCTAATCAAAAATTGCTTTAATAGATGAATTATATACATTATATATAGGCAGCATAACTACTCAGCTATAGTAGTTCTTATCTACAGTCCACTATACAAAGTTATAAGTACCTTTTTATACTAAAATACACTCTTTCTAAAGCTCTATATTAAAAGAATCTAATAACTAAAATATTAACTGTTAATAGTATATATAGAATCAGATAAAGATTATTCTTTTTTAAGAGACTATATATATTATACTTGATCCTAGCAACAGACGTGTTAGAATTGACGCCACCTTATCAGAAACCCGGGCTCTATAGCCCACAGCTTAAGGCTATAAGGCACCGAAGCGGACCCGCACCGGGCCTACACAGGCTACACTATATACTACAAACTATATCTATCTATATGCCTTTACTAATGCTAGCATTATTGTGATTCGGGGCAAATATGCGTTTGGTGGTGCCCGGGTCTATGTCATATAGACGTCATTTATGATCTAAAACTGCGAGGAGTGAAAAGGGACACTAGTCTTTTGTCGACCGAGGTGAAATGTAATAGGACTATGGTATTGTCCCACCTTTCATCAGCATGTGAATTGTACGTGACTTTACACAACGTAATTGATGATTCACGCCCCGCTGGACTCTGAAAGGAGGGTGGTTGTTGTCAAGGAGTAGCGACAGCAAGCCTCTATAAAATCACGACAGAACAATGAGTTAATCAATTAATATGCACTTTCTACATTTCATGAAGCATGACTTCAGAAGGAATAAACACCTCAGTGGTGCGTCAATACAGAGTATGCCGACTAGACCTCGCTAATCAAATCTGACCAAGCAGCTCGCCGTCCTTGGCGCCGGCGGCATGGGAGCAGGCCTTTGTCTTCTTCTGGCAGAGCATGGCCACACTGTGTACTTTTTCGATCCCAGTTAGTTAAAACCAGGACGATGATTATTGTACTAGCTACTGACAGTAAAACACAGATGAGGAGAATGTGCAGAAGCTCTCCAATGATGCCTTTCAAATAGGGCTGCAGGATAAAGTTACCAACTGCAAAAGTGTTGAGAGTTTGTTCAGAAACATCAATGATGAAGTGCATGCCGCGGTATACCTGATGTCTGTTCCCCATGGCGCCGCTGCTGATAAAGCTGTCGACTCGCTACGGCCATTCCTGCGTCCAGACGATGTCATTATTGACTGCGGAAACGAACATTACGAGAATACCGAGCGCCGTCAAAAGGATCTTGCCGTCTACGGCGTCAAGTACATTGGCTGCGGTGTATCGGGCGGGTACCAGAGCGCTCGAAGCGGCCCGTCCATGTCTCCCGGCGGCGATCTCGACGTTGTTAGAAGCCTTCTTCCTTTCTTCCAAAAGATTGCCGCCAAAGATGACCAAGGGAATCCCTGCACCGCAGTAATTGGTACTGGAGGAAGCGGGCACTATGTGAAGATGATTCACAACGGCATTGAGCATGGCATGATGGGTATCCTTGGCGAAATCTGGCTCATCATGTCGCGAGGCTTACGCATGAGTAATGACAAGATAGCAGATACCTTTGAATCATGGAACAATACTGGAGAGCTACGAGGATGTTTTCTTTTGGGCATTGGAGCCGATTTATTGCGAGCGACCAACGACAAGGGCGAACATGTTCTTTCAACAATCCGAGACAAGGTCGTCCAAGACGCCGAGGAATCAGAGGGCACAGGCACATGGACTTGCGCAGAGGCTATTTCACATCACAGTCCGGCAGCAACCATCGTAGCTGCACACTTTTATCGCTGCGCCTCGGCGTTTGCCGCGTCTCGCGAAAAGGTCACGGCGTCTCTCGCTTTCGGCGACCTCCTGCAGCCGCCCCAAGAAATGGCGATTGATTCTGTGGATGAGTTCCTGGCTGCACTGCATGCCACCACATGTTTTGGATTCCTCAGCTGCTTTGCACAAGGCCTCAATGTGCTCCGCGCCAAAGACAAGAAGGCTGGATGGCATCTCAAGTACACGGATGTGGTGCAAGTGTGGCGCGCGGGGTGCATAATTCGTGCCGATGGAATCTTGAGCACTTTTGATTCAGTATTCAAAAACGGCGATTGTGAGGTCGACGACTTATTCTGGAATTCAGAGGTGACGGGCGCGATGCATCAACGCATGTCCTTTGTCAAGAGAGTCGTCTTGGCGGCAACAGACGCAGATATGCTGTTGCCCACAATCAGTCAAAGCTTTGAGCATTTCAAGTATATACAGGCGACTCACGGCCCGGCTCAGTTTATTGAAGCTCAGATGGATTACTTTGGGAAGCACATGTTTGATACGTGGACTGAGCCCCCGGGGGGGGCCAAAACGGGCAAACACCACTTTGAGTGGAAGCAAGCGAAAGGCTCTTCGGACTATTAACCAACCATTTTATATAGTTATCTTACTTAAAAAAGAAGACGCCAGAGTAGCGAGAGACAATAAATAAGTTGTTATATTGATTATTCAGTTTTTTCAATAAAATTATGATTCTAGAGTAGTTATCGTTATTAAAGACCTTTAAAGATAAAATATCACAACATTAGAATAGAAGAATACCCCAAGTAGATTGATGCTTATATATAATACCCTTGCCGTTCTATCTATAGTCTTAGACTTTTTCTATAATGCCCGATATGTTAAGTCTCTAACCGCAAATGCAGCCCCGTGTTCAGATGCCCAGCACATGATCAAATGCAATCCATGAAAACAACATCTACGCCGTCCAGCCCTTCTTCTTGCGATACCACGCCAGCGTCGCCAGCCCACACTGGATCCGCATGCCCATCCGCGCATCCAGGACATAGGCTTCCCACACGCGTGCTTTTTCCAGATTCTCCTCGCACTTCTTGACCTTGGTTCTCTGAAACTCTTCCGTCTGCGCCGCGTCGAAATCGGCGGGCGGCTGGCCACACTCAGCCCACGCAATGGCGGCGACTTCGTGAATCGCGGCAGGCACGACATAGTCTTCTCTATGACCGCCCTTGAACAGATTTCTATTATCCCAGTCAGCGCTTTTCTCCTTTCCCGGCTTTGGGGTGAAGGTACGTACCTATCATGGGATAAAACCTCTACTTCGAGCAGTTCTGCGGCCTCATCAAGGCGATTGCAACCGCGTAGAATGGACGCCAGACACACGGCCCGCACGCCCAGCTCATCCCGCTCCTTGAGCTTTTCGAGCTTATCAGCCGGCGCCGTGAGCCTGCTCCACGCCAGACACTCTTGAGCCTTTTCAAACTCGCGCGTCGCCATCCACTTTGGTCCGCTCCATGCAAACATCATTTCCACCGCAGGACTCACAGCCACGACATCGGCCAGATCCACGCCGAGCTCCTTTCGGCGCGCTTCCCATTTCTGCACCTTGCGCTGCACAAACGTCTCAAACGGCAGCTGGCGCGCCATGAATTTCTTCTTGGTCGACGTTTCACCAGACTTGAGGAGATATTTTTCGGCCGTCTTCTTCTCGGCGGCAGCAGAGGCAGCGTCTCCGCGCGCGACCGCGTCGCGGTACAGCTCAAGCGATGCGGCGCCGGCCATGTAGTAGTAGAGCCCGGCGCTCCAGGTGTTGACCTCGACGCAGTGCAAAAAGTACTTGCGCATGCGCGGCCAGTCGTGAGCCGACATGGAAAAGAGGGCGAGCGTAAACTGGTTGATTGCTGTGACCTGCTTCATCTTGGACTGCGTGCCACCTTCAAGCTCGGCAATGGCAGAGGGCAGATCTTGGCGACTGGCGAGGCCTTTAGCTTCTTCGATGAGCCACATGCGCGACTGTGGGAAACGCTCGCGCATGGTGGCCAGGAGCTCGCCGACCTTGTGCTGGGGAATGCCGTAGGGCTCAGCAGATTCGTCAAAGTCGGCCTCGTGCGGCTGAATGTCAACGAGACCCAGCATACTGTGATAAAAGTTGAGCAGCATGATGCCGGCAAATGCGCCATTCTGCATGGCCATGTCAGTATGAGATTGAGACGGAGCTGGGTATGCATACCGCATTGGGATGAGCTACTGATCGCCAGAGCATGCGGATACCAGCCTCGCGGTCGCCTTTAAAACCGACAATCGACAATATTCGGGCAAACGCCGGTGGCATCAGCGACATCATGAGCATCAAGATGCCCATGCACATGTTGACGCCCGAGTGGATAAAGGCGTCAATCGGATTCGCCAGCTCGATATCGATGTCCTGCAGCGCCGGCGCTGTGCTGCCCAGCGTCGCAGGCAGCTTCTCTGTATCCGCTGGCAGTGCTTCCAGGCTGGTGCTTGATGAGACGGGCGTCTGTGCGGCGGAAAAAACATTTTTGTCCTCTGACGAACCGCGAGCGCTGGAGACGGCGGCACTACTAGACCCGGTCTGCGTGCGCTGCTTTCTAAAATACTCATTCTCTTTGGTGATGATGGCGTCTAGCGTTATGTACGCCCGTCGCAGTTTCAAGAAACTCTTCATTGCCTCGATCACGCTCTCGTTGAGGACGCCCAAGACAGCCGACATGAGCTGCGTCTGCGTCACGACGAGCTCGTACTCGGTGCCTGGAGGATAAATCTCGCCCGCCGCGTGGCCCGCCGCCGCCCGCTTCTGCGCGCGCTTGAGGTCCTCCCAGGCTTTCGTCTCGCATTTCGCCAGCAGGTCGGCAGCGTGGTTGATATTGTCCTTTTCGAAGCCGAGGATGGCCTTCATGAAAAAGACGAGTGTGGTGCCGAGATCGTGGTAGGTGGATGCGCCCTTGCGCAGCTCCGTCTCAGCCGTATCAATATCGTCGTTGATGATGAGGTTGGTCGCGCGCATGGCCTGCTCAAGGTTGGCGCGCTCGACGGCCAGCTCAGCCTGAAGGTCGACGACGTCGGGCTTGGAGCCGCCGAACCACGATGCAAGACGGCTCATGACGTCGTGATATTGTGTGTAGCTGAAAAGTTGACAATTGCGCCAAAACCAGACAATCAAGCGCCGCAGACGAAGGAGATGGGGTGACACAGTGCAATTGGTAGAGAGAAAAAAAGACAAGGCAGATGATGTAGAACAAGAAAGCCTTGTCGGATGAGAAAACCGGCGCAGGATTGCACTGCCCGGGTCTGACGGGGGAGGCGCTGAAGCCCCGCTGACCAGTGACGACAGCAGCTGCGTGCTTGCTGGATTTTAGGCCTTGTCGGGGCCGTTGCGACGGAGTTAGCAGGCACCGGCTTTCAGATCTGTCTTGATGAGGCAAAGTAAGGCTGCCTGTTGGCGCTAGCTGGGCGTCAGAGGTGGAGGCTGGCCATGCTGAGGGGGATGCCCCGGGTCGTTATCGGCCAATGGCAAACGCTTGATGTGTATGTAGAGGCTCAAAACAATTCGTAATGCGATTTGATTCCCCGATCTGAGTGACTGTCTGGAGCAAGTAAAGACGTATCAGCACTTGAGTCGTTGCCGAGTACCAATTGTCGACCATGATGCTAGAACTGACCATTTTCACTCACTTGAGTCGTGGAGCTTAATTTAGTGACACTTTGAACTGGGTGTTGACTGAATGGCTGGATTGAGAAGAACAGGCAGTGGCGTTTTCCTTTATGTGTTGACGCGCAAACAATGCGTACCCTTGTTGCCCAGGTCCTGCATCGGTCTGCATCATCACTAAGCGGGGCATGTGCTAACATGGAATAATTAGACGTCGAAACGCCCACATGGTCGCATTAGAAACTTAAGTTAGTTGATTGAATGATAGTTGAAGGAAGGACTTTGTCTCTTTATTCTCACTCCCCTAAGCGATACCATTGGTTTTGTCGAGCCTTGCTTTGCTGAAAGTCTTGCTTGAATCCAGCCTACCCTATACCACGGACCGAATTCTTCCGCCCGCGAGTTGCCCCACGCTGACCACTGGCGGAGAGAGCTCACGCAAGCATCCACCTGCCTTTGGTCGCTCCAATCTCCCAAGCTCCAGCGCATTCATCATCGCACTTCGCGCCAACACCCGCCGCATCCTTCCATCGCACCTTTGGACCTTTACAACCTTTAACGCCTACCGGTCTCGTATAACCCCCCAGCACACAACAGGAATCAGCCATCATGGCCGCCGACAAGACCGACGACAAGACCACCACCGCGGCCGGCGAGCAGCAGCAACCGCCTAAGGAGACCAAGGCCGCCGCCCTGGGCGAGGACGACGAGTTTGAGGATTTCCCAGTCGACGGTGCGCTTCTACAACACCCCCTGCCATTAAAGAAAAAAAGCATACGTAGTGAGGAACAGAAAGCTAATGAGGTGATGCAGACTGGCCGGAAGACCAGACGGAAGCCGCGCAGGGCTCGGGTCAGACCAAGCACCTATGGGAGGAGAGCTGGGACGACGATGACACGACGGATGATTTCTCGACACAGCTCAAGTGCGTTTGCCCCGTTTCGGCCCTATACTGTTTGGGGAGGGAAGAGTGCCTAATGAGCTCCCGAGCTAACCGCGTACAGGGAGGAACTGAAAAAGGTCGAGTCGTCGAAACGGAGATAAACAAACGGAGCTACGTACGGAATATCGAGGAGGAAAATCACACTCGGAATTGGAGGATAGACCGGGCTATAATGGGCAATTGAGCCTGCTACGTAAATTGTGACGAATACAATGACTGCGTCAATAATGATTTAACATTCTGCGCCAGCTGATCATTCCCAGTGAATCAAGACCTGTCGCTACACGGATACTCACACCATGCAGAAGTGCGATTGTACTTTTATTGTATACTTATTTTGCCATTTTTTCGCCTACAGGCGGCTGCTCTGTCTATCTAGACCCAATCCGTCAACGGGTTCCCAGACACTACTCAAGTCCAGGCATTTACTTACTCGACAGAGCCGTCACACCAGGCAGCTCCTTGCCCTCGAGCAGCTCGAGCGAGGCGCCGCCACCGGTGGAAACGTGGCTGAGCTGGTCCTCGACGCCATACTTGGCCGCCACAGTAGCCGTGTCGCCACCGCCGATAATCACAATCTTGCCCTTCTTGCATCCGTCGACAGCGGCGTCAAGCGTGGCCTTGGTGCCCTTGGCAAACTTGTCAAACTCAAAGACACCGGCGGGGCCGTTCCACAGAATCGTCTTGGACTCGCTGATGGCTTCCTGGAACAGCTTGATCGACTCCTTGCCGCAGTCGAGGCCCATCCAGCCGTCGGGAATGCCCTCCTTGTCGGTAGCGTAGCCCTCGGCGGCGTCCTTGTCAAACTTGTCGGCTGTGACGAAGTCGGTGGGCAGCACCACCTTGACGTTCTTGGCCTTTGCCTTTTCCATGAGCTTGGGCACCGTCTTGGAGCCGGGCTCATCAAAGAGCGAATTGCCAATCTTCATGTCGTCAATCACCTTCTTGAAGGTAAAGGCCATGCCGCCGCACACAATGAGGGTATTGACCTTGTCGAGTAGGTTGTCGATGAGCTGGATCTTGTCGGAAATCTTGGCGCCGCCGAGGATGGCGAGGAACGGGCGCTCGGGCGACTCGAGGGCCTTGGCAAAGTAGTCGAGCTCCTTCTTCATGAGGAAGCCGGCAGCCTTTTGGGGCAGGTCGACGCCGACCATGGAGGAGTGGGCGCGGTGGGCGGTACCGAAAGCATCGTCTAGATTAGTTAGTACAGAGCTTCGCAGACGCTTGATCGTGACGAGGAGTGCACGTACTGACAAAGACATCTCCGAGAGCAGTGAGGCCCTTGCGGAACTCGTCAACCTTGGCCTTGTCGGCCTTGGTCTTGTTGCCATCGGCGTCCTTGGCGCTGCCCTCCTCCTCAATGTGGAAGCGTAGGTTCTCGAGCAGAATGACGGCACCATTGTCCGCGCCATTGACAATCTTCTCAACCTCGGGACCGACGCAGTCGGGCGCAAAGGTGACCGACTTGCCGAGCTGCTTCTCGAGCTCCGGGACAACGGGCTTGAGAGAGTATTTGGAGTTGGCCTGGCCGTTAGGGCGGCCAAGGTGGGACATGAGGATAACGGCCTTGGCGCCGTGGTCGAGGGCATGCTTGATGGTCGGGATGGCGCCAACGATGCGCTGCGGGTTGGTGATGGTGGTACCGTCGAGGGGAACGTTAAAGTCGACCTGTGCGGGCAGGTTAGCATAGCTCTCGGACATGGCGTGGTGTTGATGGCGGGGTAACCGAACTCACCCGAATGAGGACTCGCTTGCCCTTGACGTCGACGTCGGTGATGGAAAGCTTGTTGGAAAGTGACATTTTGAAAGCGAATCAAGTGATAGTCTCGAATGTCTAAAGGAAAAGAAGGAATTGTTTCTGTAGCTCGTTGGGGAAGCTAAGAAGGTTGCTGATGTCAAGGTGGGATGGAGGGGCAGCACTCGCGCGAGGTAATTTACGTCAAGCTTGAGATAACATTCGACCACCCACTTGGCAACCCCCACTTCTCGACTGATTCAACGCATCAACAATGCACCATCCGGGTTATATACAGTAGGGAAAATACAACTGTATCACTATCTTGGCTCAAGGGAACCCTTTGCGAGCGGTAATATCTGGTCTGTCGGAGTGAAATGTTCACACGCAAGTCACATCTTTTTTTTTACCTATCCTATCAAGCTTCCGTGCTGGTAATGTCGCTCAAGGAAATTGAACCGAGAGAAAAAAAAACAGAAAACAAGGGAAACAAAAGCAATCGCAATCATCATCCTACAGTACAAGATTCGAGCATGCATATCTTGTCAAGTGCGCTGTTGTGCAAAGCAGAGCGGCTCTTCACCGAACAAACAAAACACCACCTAGACCCGTACGGTCAAGCGATCTTCGTCAAGCTTTCTCCGCTGCCATTAAACAAAGACTATTGACATTCCCTCCACTTATCCTACCATGTCAGGCCACCGTCGATGCAAGCGAAATCGCCGCATTTCTGGACCTGGCATCGACGCACTTTATGAGATTCGCCGCCGCCGCCGTCGCCGCTTATCGGGCCACATTAGTCGACGTAGCCCGCGCTGGAAACGTTGGTAACCCTTTAAGCCATCGGAGCGATCGAATTTCTTCTTTTTTTTTCGCCCATGTGCAGTCTGCTTTCCAGTCTAGCTTTTTTGCGCGGCGTGGACTCGCGGGATACTTCCTCCTCGGCCTCTTGAATCTGCGCCTTGGTCAAGACATAACCGCAGCTCATCACCTCAAACTCGGGGCCATCGCCATCAAAATGATGTGCCATGGCCAGAGGCCAAATCACCCTCGCCAGATCGCCTTTACTGAGCTGCACGGGGTCCGACGGCGGCTGTGAATTGTCATTGTTGTTTGCGCCATTGGGCGGCGGTTCACTCTGTGCTTGCGGGAACGGAACCGGACGACAATCATCAGATTCGATGAAACGAATGTGTGCCTCGATTCTTCCCTCCATTTCCGCAGTTGGCTTCCAGGCCTCGGCAGCCATTTCGCAGAGCGGTTGCAGCCTTGAGTGAAATCCTTCAACGTTGGGAACTATCTGCCCTAGCGTGCTGGCGATTTCCTTGACAGCGCTGTCGACATTATCCTTTTGCATCTCTTCCTGCTCTTCAGGAGCCACCTTGTGCAACTTTAGCAAGACGGAACGCACAAACGCTTCGTGGTCCGGATTGACCAAGGCGACGGCATCTAGGGCGCGGTCCAACTCGTAGCTCACGAGTGCGTGCCGGAAAACGTGCCTCTGAAGGAACATGCCAGCCACGCGGAGTGCGGCGGCGACCCTCATCTGCTTTGCCGCCGGCGAGTTGGACGCTGGCAGCGGGATGTTTATGCAGTGTTCTTCTAGGGGGCTTCCTGTTGTCGAAACATGTGTCTTGACGTCGACGCTGAACTCGGCGTGGAAAAACTCGAGGAATCGACAGAAAGTGTCGCCAAGTGCCTTTTGACTGCATGCCATTAGCTGAAATTCCTCGTATGTGTACTAGAAATGACAGTGGATAAGCAAATGACCACATACATTTGCCCTTTGCCATTCTTCATGGGCTGCAGCGGGGCAGTGAAGGACCGGAACTCAGCAAGCTCGTCGCTGACTGCTTCCATTTCCTCTTTGGTCCGGTTCAAGTTCTTCTTGGCCTCCTGCAGGCTGTGAGCTACAACCTTGGCGCTCGCCTTCTCCTGCTCGAGCTGCTCCTTTGCCTTGGCGCAGAGGTTCTCTTGTCGACCAATCTCCGAGTCCTTCTTCTTAATGGTCTCGCCCTGCGCGAGGATCTGCTTTTCCTGCGCCTGGACCTGTTTCGCAAGCTCGTCGGCCTTGGTTTTTGCTTCCCGCAGGACCTTGACCTCGTTCCGCCCGTCCTCGAGCTCGCGCTCCATCGCCGCCTTGTCAGCCTTCCACGAGTCGCGGTCCCCCAATATCGTGTCCCAGTTGGTCCGGTTCGCCGCTTCGAGGTCCGCGTTTCGTTCTCGTAGCCGCTGGTTGTCGACGTCTACTTTCAAGATTTGCTGCAATATTTGGCTGGACGCAACGAGGGCCATGAGATCTGGCGTTGCGCCGTTAACGGCGCTGCCCCCCGACACACCATTTTCCGATTTACTGTCCTGTTTTCCCTTGCCTGCCATTGCTGCGTAAATTAGTGTACTGTTGATAGTCGTTTTTCTCCGAGCAATGTGGGAAGTAGCGACTTTAATGGGCGACCGAGTGTACTCGGACGCTGTGGTTCGTAATCAGGCCGCATTTTATCTCGGTGGGCAGTGGTTGTATCATTGGGCGCAAAGGTATGCTGTCTCGGCGCCTCGGCGCCAAACGCCCAAAAGGTGAGCAGTACAGATTACTCTTGTTAGAGGACCAGCCAGTGGCTTGCCAGTTTCAGTGGCAAAGGATCTCGGCTGATCAGGCTGCATGTATAGTGGTCGGCCACCGCAGCATCCACCACCTGGCGGACTGCAACGTCCAACAGGAGATTGGTATCAAAGAAGAAGGGTCTTGGGCTGCTGCGATACATCAGTTGGGCGCTTGTTCGATTTAGTCGCTCACAAGTCTTGATACCGGAGCTACTGCAGCTTGACGTGGACTCGGCAAGCAATAGAGAACCAAGAGAGCTCACAGGGTACCAAGAAATGACGTATATTCAATGCGTCAGATGCCTTGCGGCCTAACAACAACCAAAGTAGACAGTCCAATAGAAGAAAGGGAAAATAGGGAAAAAAAACGAAAAATACACAGACAGTCCGTGTGTGGCAGAGCTCCATTTTCCGGTGGCGGGCACGTCTACTTTACACTATGTCGCAAGCAATCTCTAAGCGCCTACCAAAAGCAGTTCTCAGAAAATCGCAAAAGGATGATCAGTACTACTTTATCCCAAACAATACTAATAATCAAGCTTTTCCATCCTAGTTTAACGCTTTCGCGCGTGTTATCTCCTCTGAACGCCTATCAAGCGTCTATAAGACAACTTTTAGCATATCGCGAGTATTTACGCTAGTAGACGAGAGCTGCTAACAGCGACTTCACCATGCTAAGCGCCTGACGCCCACAGAACTACGCCCTTTCTATGATGACGCGTTTGAAAATTGTCGCATGTGTGTGCTCAAAATCGTGTGCGTAGTTTCGCAAATGCTGCTTTATTTAAAAAATGCCTTTTTAGTTGTCGAAGAGTGCATCGAAGCGGATCAGAGCCACGAGGTCAAGGGGCGGCGGTGGGCCATGGCCGGGTCTGGAAACCACAACATTCAAGGGAGATTACTGCGCGGCTTCAGTCCAGAATTGTTTGAGGATCGCGACCCAAGACATCAGCGCGCACCAAGTTCAGGCACCATTTCAACGGTCATCGACCACACCCTACTAAGCAGCTCCTCGGATTTCGAGGGAAATGCGCTGCGCAGAAAAAAAGCTGTTAGGTCTACCTGCGTCCGTAGCATGCAAGCCTGCAACCGCTACGCCAAGCTGAGAGAAAAGAATGGGTGTGAAGGTCTCTAGGCAGGGGCTGATAATGAGTTCATATTCACGGCCAAGACCGGTTTGCGATGCGCATACCCGTTGCGAAGAGGCCAGGCAGGCTTTGATGATGTATATAGGCATCCATACATAAGTCACACCCGGTTTGGTTGAGCATACTTGCCAAATACAACAATCCAAGCCCCGACGCTGCACGTTTTTGGCGGCAGCCCGGGTATTGCAGTTGTAGAATTGCACGTATAAAGTGTAACTAGTAGGTAGGGCTGAATTCGCGGGTTGCGGCCCAAGAGCGCCAAGAGAGAGATGCCCATGGAACCAATGTTTGGGATAAATAGATGCTAGCGATGGACTGATAAAACAGGCAGTGGCGAGTAGCCGTTTGACTGTGAGTAGTTATGTGCAAGCCTCTCCGAATAGGGTCGCGCGACACGAAGGGGTGGATGATGATGTTTTTGTTCTAGGCAACAACGTAATAGAAACGAGCCGATAATGCCTGAACCCTTGCCGAGAAGCTTGTTAGGTAGGTAGTCGTGTAAATAGTGTAAATGTATTCGTATGCTCTGCCTGGGCTAAGCGAACTGCTGAGTACGCTAACTGATCTGTATTTAGACCATGTTTCCAGGGTCCGTTCGCAGTTACAGTGCTTGCCGCAAGACTTTGCAGGGCCTTTTGTGTCCTGTCCGTCATAGTGCAGGCGCCACCCCAGCCTCAAGGGCCTTCTGTCTCCGAACATCGGCAAACAGGGGCATTGATGGGTTAACCAAGGCGAATTCTCGCTGCCATGACAATGATATCAAGCACCTAGCATGAGCAGTTACGTGAACATCATTCATAGTTTCGAGATAGCTTTAATTCTATACTATACTGTGTTATCGCTCACGCCGTCATAGGGCTCATATTTGTTCTGCAGTGGTTTTATTCACAGAATTTAACCCACGATGCAGCACAATCTAGACATATTCCTTGGAGACAACGACCATTTGCCTGCACTTTGCAACATCCCAATAGTTGGGCGACTCCACCACCATGCGGCCAGTCGCATTGACATTCTTTCCATCTTCTCGAAATATCCACGAAAACCAGACGTCAGCGGTCTTGGTCGTATTGTCGTAGTTGCTTATCTTGGCAAAAAATCCGTTAGGTGAATAAGGGACTTCAGAGCCGCACTTCTGCCAATCGCCGCCAACCAAAAGTGTTGTGCAGAAAGAGTCAAAAGCCACACGCGTGGGTGAGTTTTCGTCGCGCACATTGACATAAAATTGCTGCTAGCATCCAGGCTTTCCGCAAACTTGTTTCAATCTCTGGACATCCCAGACGCCGTCCTTGGGCTCTCCGCGATAAGCGAGAGTGGTGGCGGGTGCGAGAGCGAGAAGACCAAGAAGAATGGACAGCATTGCCAAAGGAGAAAGATGTAAAATTCTTCGGGTTGGGAAAGAAAATGTAGTGAAGAGAATGATTTGTCTTGACAATATTTGTCTATCGGAGCTGCCAGCTTATAGGGCGACTTGAATGGAGTTGACTGCGATATTCAATATTTGGAGGATGACACAAACTACAAACTACACTGCAGTCTAGATTATGTTTTTAAAAGCTGGGTTTCGCAAACTGAAGCAAGTCATTCCGTAGGTTGCCTTCCCGAATTGACCTACTCTGTACAAGTGTTGGCAGGCACGCCCGCCACGCGGACTCGGCATGGATGCCCCTCCACATCGTTATCCCCTCTAGACAGCTTCCTCTCCTCTCCTCTTCTCTCTTTCTTCATTATCACGAGCATACCTGTTTTTTCTGCTGCTAGATTATGTGCCGACCGAGTGTGATACTTCCCTCTCTCTTCGATGCGCCACAACAAGTGCTTTTATTACTTGGTTCTGGCTGTCTAGAACCTTTGTATCAGTAGGATTCTGCATAGGTGCAGCCCCCACAGTATAGACAACAGGCTGCGCATTTTTCTGTTATCATGACTACTGGTTATCAAAGTGCTAAAAACTATATTCACTGCATTGATAATGAAGATGGGTATAATAGACATGCTGTTAAAGTCCCCTTCCCGACCCCGGCGAAGCCCCAGCTCCATGCCGGCCCGTCCATCGTGTCCGTAGCCTCAACAGTCTTTCTCGATCCCGTGCTTTTATTGCCAAGACAAGATTCAATAATTTTAAAAGAAAAAAATTGAAAGCGGCTGCAGCTGGATAGATTGACTATTGAGGAAGTCACCGAACCTTGAAAGCCTAGATACTAGATTTGTGCCGTCGGGGGACGAAGCTGCTTCGCGACTCTGCTAGACTGTGTCTGCGATGGCAAAAGTTCCGCATCTCTCTATGATCTCCATACCGAAAACTACATTCACGGTGGTTATAGACGAGATGCACGCCAAGATAAGGAGCCAATATCGATGCCAAAAGTCTCGTTGCCGCGGCTGAGCAAATTGAACGCAGAGGCTGGTGAGGGAGCAAAAACCGGCGAGATGGTGTGGCAATACTGTTAATTGGCAATATTGTTAGTTCAGCCGTATGATCAACTATATAAGTACCATGGCTCTACGTGTTTGAAGAGTTCTGCAAAACCCAAGCAGATCAACTCCAGGTATTGAACATGCACAGTATCGTCTGTCTCCTCGCCCTCGCGGCCAATGTTCTCGGCAGCCCAGTCCAGCCGGACCAGTCACCCAACAACAACCTCAAGGTCAACACACCACAGACCGCCAGCGGCTGCTACCACCAGTATGTCCTATGCCAGATTGCAGTGTTGAAATCACGGCGCGTACTTACACGATGCTAGCGCCTCCCCGACCTGCTGTCTCCCAGGAGTCTGCATGTGCCAAAACGGTAAGTCATTTATATTACGATTAATCAGTGAAGTATTGCTGAGCTTTTTAAAAGGGTGGATTTATGAGGTCAACATGGACCAGATGAGAGCTGGTGGCCATGGCTGTGACCCGCCTTGGGGGTTTATCGCCACGAGCCGTGGCGGATTCCCCGGCTACTGCTGCTGAATGGCTGTGTTGAACGAGAAGCAAGTCTCAAAAAGGCAGCCTCGATCTGAAAGAACGAGCTTAATGAGGGATCCAACTTGTGAAAAGAAAACATTGTATTTGTGAAGTACAGACTGGCTACCAAGGCTGACAGCCCAGGCACCAGCATCGATTGGTATATATGCTACTTCGATAGTGCTGTCCATAAAGTAACGAATCTCTGCAGAAATCTACCTCACTGTCTCTGATTCCATAATCTTCATTGCCATTGCAAGCTTGGCTACGATAGTCGCCGCTGTCTTGGCCAGTACCATGGTGATGGTCTCTATCGTGGATCAAGCTTCTCTTGCCACTGCTGTGCTCTTGGTTGGGCTCGTAGCCAGCGCGGCCATCATGAGAGCAGCCATCAAAAGGGATGCGCGGATAGCGATACGAGTGTCCCACACTTATGCTCGTTCAGACGGACCCGCGCCAGCTAAAGCCTGGTGCCTCTTCAACAGCGATTCTCTTACCCTGTGAGCAATTTGCTCATCTGGATGACCCCTGGTAGTCGTGTGTAGCGCCTCGTATCGGTGCGGCTAAACAATACTCCGCTGAATGCTTAATTGGTGCTGTTGGTGAGAGATAGGTATGCAGTCCAGGCGATACCAACGGTCGAGACAAACGGCTGTCGCACGTTAGCTACCGACACATAAAAAGACTTTAGCGGACTTACCAGCTGGTATTGGACAGGCATCAGGCGAAAGTTGACAAGCTGCACAGCCGGCCACACCACATAGTTGGCCTTGAGAGTCGGCACATACATGTCGCGCAGCTTGTTGCTGACGGCGCGACGTCCGCCGCCCTCGGCCACCGTCATGGCAGTGAAGAAGAGGGCAACACCAAAGGGCGCGAATGCGATCTGATCAAAGGCCACACGCTTCAGCGCGGGACCAAAGGAGCTCGTCTTTGACATGGGGAAGAGGCGCTCGAGCAGCTTGAACCAGCGAAACTGGATGGGCGCGACACAAAAGCCGTAACCCATGAAGCGAGTGAGACGCTCAAAGTCAAAGGCGGGTGGCAGGCCGGTTGACGGGCCAAAACTGAGCGAGTCCTTCTCGTAATAGGGGCTTTTGCGGCCAAGCTCGTGAAGTTCGACTGTGACGGTCTCGTCCTTGGCACCGCCGGGCTTGCGGACGACGCGGTGGCGAAAGGCGGTTATGACCTGGGCGACGGTATCTGCTATACCGCCGAGAAGGGCGTTGGTGACCATCATGGTGATGACTGATGAGTTAGCGATTTTCATCTCGAAGAGATTGGCGGATTGATGGACGTACGCGGTCGCTCTTCGTACGAGGCATTGAACCTCGCCGTCAGTCGGGCGGCGAGCGCCATTTCGATGAGGAGGATAAGGGTATGGAGAAGCGGCTGTAAAAGGACGAAAGATCAGATAATGCAATTAGAAGTTGAGGTTTGATGGCTGAGCGGCACGGCACGCTGATGATGACGATATAGAGTTGACAGCGTCACCGATCACCGCAGCGGCGTGGAGCACGGGCATTGGCGGCGTTAGCGCCTATCGGTAAGGACACGTACAATGCGACCAAGAATATATCGGTTCACGGCAGAAGTCTGCAGAGGCGAGTCCCAAGCCATGCTGAGAGAGTTGATCGAGTATGTATTTGTAAAATCGAAATATTGATGTGTTGCTGGTTGGGGTCGCGGTCGCGGAAGGCTTCGTGGCCTCACCCGTTGGCCCGGGTTCGATGACGAAAGAGGCGTGGGGGACGTCCGGGGCAGCGTGCGGCTGTTAAAACCAGGCACGAGCCAGAGGAGAGTGACAAAGGGAGGATGATGAAAACAAGAGGGTTCGATGACAGACGAACGGGTAAAAAAAATGAATAGCGAACAGGAACACTAGACTGCCGGACGGATGAGGATGAGGATGTCGGAGAAGAAAGTCGTGGTCGCATGAGGTGTGGCGGAGGCTTGTGGCGGCAACTTGTAGGAGGGGTAGCAGGGTTGCAGGGGCTTTGGGTGCCCTGGAGCCCATCAAATTTTGGCGCCGTGGCCACTGTATTTCTCCTCTCTTTTTGGCCCATGGCTCGCCGCCCCTGTGGCTTGGGCCGCTCACTGCACAGTAAATGTCCGACCACAGATCAACGCGGGGCCTCTTACCAGGAAGAAACACATCATACGTCATATTGGAGATAAGAGAACATCACTGCGAGCTTTGATTATATCGTTCCATCTACTCCGTAATCCGTAGTTACATTTTCAACGCGACCGCTGCTCTGCTAAAGCCACTGTGTCACTGTAGTGGAGACGCACCTAAAGGCTGCACTAGCCACAGAAACTTGAGCCACGCCTCCTCCCCTTGCCGTTTCAAGTCCCAACGAATAGGAGCGTTCACCCTGCACCAGCTCAACCACCGCGAGCAATCTTTTGCAGCTGCGAGTACGCGCCGTTGAAAATCTGCGAGTCACCACCGTACGCATACTTGTCGCTGTTCTGCCAGAATGTCTGGAACGGCCAGCCGTTAGGGATCTCACCCACACTACTCGCGTAACGGGCGAGGCTCAGCGGAGACTTTTGGCCAAACGCAGCACTGTTGCCTGTGCACGTCTTCCACCAGTCTGTCGTCGTATAGATGATGGGGTACTGCGTCGTCTTGGCCTTGTAGTGCTCGATAAAGTCACTGATCCAGTTGACCATGGCGCTCTGTGAGAGGCCGTAGCAGGTGGCGCCGTACGGGTTGTACTCGATGTCCAGCATGCCCTAGACACGTCAGTGCGCCTTGTACACATCAGCAAATTGCAGTTCACGCACCGGAAGGGTGATGCCGTCGCCGCTCCAGCCGCCGCCGTGGGCCAAAAAGTAGTCGGCCTGCGCAGAGCCGGACGAGCGGTCGGGCAGCGCAAAGTGGTAGCCGCCGCGGATGAAGCCAGCCTTCGTGGCACCCGTGTACTGCGAGCTGAAGCTGGACGAGGTGAAGCCCGTTCCCTCGGTGGCCTATATCGTCAGCATTATCACAGTCTCCCATGGCCCTCAGCATGTACCTTGATAATGACGAAGCGAGCGCCGCTGCTGTAAGCCGCAGCCCAGTTGACGGTGGGCTGGTAGCCAGAGACGTCAAAGCCCTGCACCGTGGCAGAGGCGACGGAGGCAAGGCCGATAATGCCGGCAACAATGGATGAGAAAGACTTCATCTTGGTTACTGTCGTTGTAAGGCTGACTTCCTTCTTTCCAAGCGGGAACACACTGTCGTATTTATAGCCAATGCTTCGGCACATTCCGCTGACACTGAGGACATTCGCTTCCATTGCAACCTCGAACGCAACTCATCGTGCTGATCCCCGTTGCGCCGATACCCCTGCGCCGCGATCCAAATCCTGACCGACCGTGGGGAACTCCGTCAGCCACCAGACTCCGAGTGCCGCCGGCATCTGCTACGTTATCTCAGAACCGAAGAGGAAAACGTGCTGCCACTGGCTCAACTATAGGCCGCACGCGGTGGGACGGAAACTCGACGGAAATCGCGGCTGAAGTTGGTTGGTGGGCCCAAGAACGAGGAGAGCGAGCAGTGCGTTGCAGCTTATCTTCGTGCCGTAGCTACTGTTTACATTGCAATTTTGTCTGTCAATGCCAGCAAAAAATGGCCTGCGGCGTACACTTTGAGTCTTCGAGGGCCAGATAGGTCAGTTGATCCTCGCAGACCTCAGGTTGAAATGCACAAGATTAACTGTCGATGACCGGGAATATTCAAAACACGATCTTGCGTATAACACAACGACCCGAACTCCAAGTAAGTACAAACTCATTCTTACGGCGCTTTTTCGCCGGCAGATCCCTTCGCTAGCGTCGATGCATGCATGCTCCCCGTCTCCGGTCTTGGCGAGACGACATAATTGTCCACTGGTCCAATAGCGCCTATATCATTTAACAAGATCATGGACAGATGACACAATTTTGCCAGTAATGCATTCTGAGCTTACCACCGAACCACATTGCCACACACGCATCTCTGTTCAGCTTTACGAACTAATGCCGTGGGTGAGATTTAGGGTCCGCCTCTGTCCTCCTAGCCTCTGCTCGACATCGTTACTAGAGCGTTTTCTTGTTTTCTTGACTTCTCGAGATATGTGACCCTGTGGCGCCGCCTCGCTGTCATAGTCACCACTTATTCAAGGCGACCCCCTCGCCAAGTCGACATTATGCAGCAGACATTACGGCATTCGCATGTATGTCGCTGCAAGTGCCCTACGTTTGGGATGCCGATCCCCCCGCTTTCTGCTCGCTACGATACAATCCGGCCTCGCGGAGCTGGCCGATAGCTCAAAAGGGAAATGGACACCGCCAGCCAGTCGAGCATGTCGAGTTACAGCAACACCTGCCTCAAGGGGATTACTAACTGGACGGGCGCCAAAACTAAATCTGAACGTGAGATTCCCGGCTCGGTAGAAAGTCAATCCGACATTATTGTTTGACAGAAAATGGCGTGACTAACGTCTTATTCTATCGTAGAGTGTGACACAAATCGGCGCATATATTGTACATTGCGCAACACCCGATTAGAAGTTGCCTGCGAGCTTCTGCTTCGGACTCTGGAATTCGGAACGGGGTCTTCATATTAGGCAGCATTGGGACCTCGAGAGCTATCCTCCTCACTCGACCACTAGTTCACCAATCTCAACCTGCAGCAAATGTCGGCCCCAGCAGACGATTCAGGTCACTGGACGAGCTCATAATTTACCCACTAGCCTGCCTGACGAGAAGCAACCAGCAACAAATGTCATTTGATTTCCTTGCCACACGTCCAGATCTTGCTGTGGTTAGATGTGTTGCATGCGCTTGCGCAGGTACCGCGCCGCAAGGCTGTCGCACGAGGGTTTGTCTCAACCACCCACACTAATTCGGCGCAGCCTTTGTTGCACAGCACGAGAGTCAACTCAGCAGGGAACTTCATTGAAGAATAATTCACCGATCGGCAGCCCGTGATGGGTTACGACTTCCGTCGTTCTTGGTATGTGACTAGTCCAAGTTGGCTATTGCGCAAGCTGCGCGGCCTCACCGTGACCGCTGCCCAATAAGAAGCTTAAACGTTCACATAACGTCCGCGGATCTAACTCTCCCAAGAGGAAGAATCAGACATCTCTAGTCGACGTTGGTCACGACTGTCTTGCGGTTTCATGGGTTCAAGCTTTTCGACTCGTCCAGTAAGCGAGAGCTAAAGAAAAGCCAAGCCAGGCCAGCCAGCTACAGATCGAACAAAATCGGACCAATCTGCGGATCTACCTCTCTTGGTCCCCTCAAAATGTCGTCGATCTCCGTGCAAGCATTACAAGCTTTCAAAAGCTAATAAGACGAGGGCGAGGGCGTACTTCGGTACCACACACGTTTAGCACCTCTAGTTATACTTTGTCGCACGAGAGAACGGAAGCTCCCGATTAGCGGTCACACCCCTGTCACGCTGGAGATGGCATTTTTACAATGGGCAACAACAGAGTTTGCGACACGTTGCAGCGGCGCCGATCCGCCACCATCACGGCCATGCCCGCACGGCAACGCGGCACATGGTGCACTGCGCCACGGGGAGAGAACAGCTGAAAGCCAGTAATTACACAGTATGCGCAAGGTTCTGGAAACAGCATGATGTCCCAATCGTGAATTTTAGCGGAGCCGCGGATCATCCCACAGCGGGCAATCAAGTAGATCCTTGATTGAAGCTGGTAATCGGAGCCCTCAGGTTACACTACGATGGCGTCTGACGTCAGTGTTGGTCCTTGTACACCAGTGTTTCATAGCACCTGTCGTCAACGCACAACAGTCAACGAAGACGCAGTTTCATTGTGTAGGGTGACGCAAGCTAGTAGCACATCGTCCCTTAAGAGGAAGCTCAAAGTCGCACCATAGCTGCATATGACCGCGTTATCACAAAACTCTATGGTGACTTTCCGCACTAAACACCCCTGAAGACTTATCTATCAGATTTAAGGACGTGTATATAAAGCGTCACCGGACCGGATCTGCTGCTTGATGATGCTCCGTAACCATCTTTGACAATTCTGATCAACAAGCAACTCAACACCAAGACATACATCATGGACGCATTCTTTCAGGCACAAGCCAAGTTCCAGGCCGCCCGCGGCCTCACCAAGGTCCGCGCCAGGCCCAATCAAAACTACAAACGCCACGGCACAAAGTCATACGTCTACCTGCTGAATCGCTTCGGCTTCGAGCCAACAAAACCTGGCCCGTATCACCGCATCTAGACCCTGCAGCAGCGCGGCCTCGCACACTCACACATTGCCGTTGGCGGACGCGCGGCCATCACCTCGCGACTAGCCAAGACAATCGACGCCGACGGCAAGCAGACGGGTGAGGTTACGGCCGAAGACCAGCAGAACGACTCTGAGTACCTGTGCGAGGTGTCGATTGGCACACCGCCACAAAAGGTCCTTCTCGATTTCGACACTGGCTCATCTGATCTATGGGTACGGCTTCACCTTTTCTACTGTCGTTTGTTTCCGCGGCATGGGCACTGACCTACATAGATCTTTTCCACTGAGCTGGACAAGGCCACTCAAAAGGGCCATACCGTCTTTGACCCGTCCAAGTCGTCCACCTTTAAGAAGCTGGCCGGCCAGACGTGGCAGATTTCCTACGGCGACGGCAGCTCCGCCTCTGGCGACTGCGGCAGCGATAACGTTACTATTGGCGGCCTCACGATTGAGAACCAAACCGTCGAACTCGCTTCGAAACTCGCCGATCAATTCGCTCAGGGCTCCGGCGATGGGCTATTGGGACTCGCCTTTCCCGCCATCAACACCGTCAAGAAGAACGGGCAGCCTGCGCCCGCGCAGACCCCCGTCGCCAACATGATGACGCAGGGCGACATTCCCAAGGAGTCGCAGCTCTTCACCTCGGCATTCTACAGCGAGCGCGACGCAGACGGGCCCGAGTCCTTTTACACCTTTGGCTACATTGACAATGACCTGGTCATGGCCTCCGAAAAGGAGATTGCATGGACAGAAATTGATTCGTCTCAGGGCTTCTGGATGTTTCCCTCCACGAGCGCCTCTATCGCCGGCAAGCAGCTCAAGCTCGACGGCAACACGGCCATAGCCGACACGGGCACCACCCTGGCGCTCGTGTCGGACGAGGTCTGCGACGCGCTCTACAAGGCCATCCCTGGCGCAAAGTACGACTCCCAGCAGCAGGGCTACGTGTTTCCGCTCACGACCAAGCCCGAAGACTTGCCCGAGTTTCAGGTCGCCGTCGGCGACAACCTGTTTGTCATTCAGCCCGAGGACCTGGCGTTTGCGCCGGCCGACGACAAGAACTGGTACGGCGGCGTGCAGTCCCGCGGCAACAACCCCTTTGACATTCTGGGCGATGCGTTTCTCAAGTCTGTCTACGCCGTAAGTGTTGTGAAATGATGCAGTTTTACTTTTCTTGCGCTTTTGGGTGTAAAAAGACTCTGTGCTGATGTTTTTTTGTAATAGATTTGGGACCAGGGCAATCAGCGCTTCGGTGCCGTCCCCAAGATTGAGAAGACGCAGAACTTGACTCCTCCCAAGTCTCAGTAGACTACGGCACCCATTAACATATCGTGATACAGCGTCTTTACATCATGTACGGCCATAGCCGAGTGATAGATCTAGATCCCGTCAAGATCTTTGCCACTGCCTAATGCGTCTTCAAATTAGGCAACTATTACTAGTTTCTTAGTATAATATACCTCTATTTTAGTAACATTTGAACGAACTACCTCACTACTTAGCTACTATTTTAGCTTACTAAAATTCTGTTACTACTTTAATAAATAAAGATAGAATAGTAATCTTTATATATATTGCTTGGATTAGCTCGTAAGAGCCTTCGGTCCTTTCTATAGTGTATTGACTAGTAGATACAGGGGAAAACCCTAGAATTCCAAGTAAAAACCCCTACTAATAGACTAAGTCAAGCACCAGCGAGACTCATATGGATCAAGTGCCCTCTATCTGACACGTACACTAATTACCCCTCATTTCTTGAAGAACTGCACGGATGCTCGCAGTGTCCTCATCCCACATCGTATTGACTATGTCACTAGGACAAGCCGCACGCACACTGTTGTAGTGTGCTTCGTAGCATTGCCGGAGGCCTCGCTGGTCTAGGCAAGTCACGTAAGCAGACAATGCCCCCGCGCACCGAGGGTAATGATCGTTTGACCCGCCACTAGAGGCATCCGTCGCGACAGCTGTCTGTGCAGCCGAAAGCAGGAACAGAACTCCGCAAAGCTTAGAGAAGTGGAACATCTTGAAATTCTTTTTGAAAATAGAAGCAGATCTTAGAAGTGTGTTAATAGGAATAATTCCGAATCTAAGGTTTTTAGGGTTAGGGTAAGGGTTAGAAGACTCACGGAAAAGGGTAGAGTTGATTCGTAGAAGACTATAAGTGATAGTATACTAGAAGATTTCTTAGAAAACTGCTAGTTTCGCTGTATATAGCTTACTTAGGTAACAAGTATTAGAGAACGTAGGGGGAGGTATGCCTTATATAGACGATTTCGGCGGGAAGAGCCTTCCCTACCCGTCTGATCTTCTTAGGCAGCAACTCCATCACACGATCATCTATTGGTAACAGATGCGCCGACCGTCCCGTCTTTGCATTAATATAATGCAAGGACGTGATAGGTGCGCTAACTAATCGGATTTCTTCTTCAGGGGGCCGCAATATCCTCTCCAACGGATCATACGATAATACCTTGTTGAGATAGAGAAGTACCCGGATGTCAGGGGTTTAAACTCTAAGCTGATAGCCGATATAACCTCTCTAACAGGTTATATAATAATACCTTATTGAAACAGAGAAGACCAAGAAAAGTCCGAGAAGCGAAACTTATTTCCTTAAAAAGGATATATCTAATAGATATAGAGAAGATCTAACTAGGAGGCATAAATATTACTTCTATAACTTATAATTTCGAGCCGCTAATAAGACTAGTTTCACGTTACCTTATCGTTAGTAACCCTCTTCCTTTAACCTATTGAAAGGTATAGACCTCGTAAAGTTATCTAATTAACTTTGACTATTATACTCTGCGGCATTAATGTAACCATATACCTCTTCGTTTGAAATTCATTGATGGCATGTTTATGGTGGGGGAGATGTATATATGTAAGGACAGCTAAGACAAGTCGACGTCGATGCCAAGCAGACGGTTGAAGTTACAGTCGAGGACCAGCAGAACGACTCTAAGCGCTAATACGAGATGTCAATCGGCACACCGCCTTAAAAGGTGCTCCTCAATTTAAGGCTGTGTTATGCTACGTGTCAACGTAATTATGCCAGCTATAATATAGCCCTAGTTAATAAAGTACCTTTTCTGATTTAGGCGTCTCACATAAATTGAAAGAGCTATTTCTACCCTTTTACGAACTGCTGACTTAGTGACTTGGGGTACTGGCGGCTGTACGGAGTACTGGCTACACGGCTGCTATACGGGCTGTACTGTCAGGGCTGAGGGGATAGGTAGATTGATACCTACTTTGTGCTGTGGCCCGCTGTGGCCCGCCGTGGCCCGCTGTGGCCAGCCTTGCAGGGGGTTCTGCTTCCATGTAACCCGAGTCACCAGTCACCAGTCACCAGTCACCAAAAAACTCAAGATCAGGGCATGATTCAGGTAGCGCGGACCTTGTTATATTAAGCATTCCTATATCCTGTATTTGTCTCTATCGCCAAGACTATCTATCCAAAGGCATAAAATTTTTACACCTCGCATAACTGGCAACTCGTTTCACCTTCTCATTCAAAGTACAGCACTTGTCATGTCACAGCGGCAGGCCTACGGAAAGGTACGATTCGTCGTCGTCAAAAGCCCACATGTCGGCGATTTCGCCATCAGCCGTAGACGCAGCATCGCTCTGCTGCTGCAACATGTACTTGACGCCCTGCAACTGTGCGTCAATTTCATAGCCTTTGTCGGCGTCTGACACACTTCTATTGACGGACTGGGACTCGGTCGCAGTCTGCTGCACCGCCTCAGTTCCCCATTCCGTTTCCAACATGGCTTCTGCGGGCTCGCCCATGGCCTGGCAACAATGGTGCAGAGCCATCCACACAGATGACATGACTGATTCCTTGACCTCGCGCGCACTGGATCGATTGAGCGAGGCGAGAGCGAGGCTGTGAGCGGCTGCGAATAGGATAAACTCGTGGCATGCGTGAGCACCCGCGGACGCGTGCACTTGGTCTCGATATTCGTTGACCGCGTCTTCTAGAATGGCGACGATCCGGTGCAGCATGGCGGCGTCGAGATTTGGAAACATGTCGTCTTCGATTTCGGCAACGACATCGGCGCAGAGCGACGCGACAACTTGCCGATGCACCACGGCGTAGTAGCTAGGTCCACCGATGTAGAGTGAGGTGCATGCGGCTTTGTGAGTGCCGAAATGCTGTTCGCTGCTTGTATTGCATGGCTCGGCAGTACCAGGTGTTGGAAGGAATGGGTAAGCCGTCGCTGCTGTCTTGGTTCTGGATCCTGTCTGACCAGCATGGGAGGAAATTTGAGACTGTATTGACCTCGGTCCGTCTTCGTGCGGACCAGGACGCAGCATTGCAACTGCATTCTCTAGTCTTAGCCGGCGGAGATAGTAGTCGGCAAATCTGTTTCTCGATTCGCCGCTCAGTGGCACGCCAAGTGCGAGTATAAATGGGCGTACAAAGACGTTGAGCAGCCACAGTTGGAAACTAGTAGGCTGTGTCGATGCCGGGGACAAAAGACTATTCACCTCGGAATTGAAGGCTTGACTCAACTCAATCGCCAGGCGCTGGCTCTCCTGGATATCCTTGCTTGCTCCAGAAGCATGGAGGTGCTCGAGTACTCGGAGACGAAGGCGCTGCGTACGCGATAGCGCAGCTAATACAGTCGATGCTGGCACGCGCAGGGAATCTGGCACAAAATATGACCTGGGCTCCTCTTCAACCCCGTTAGAAGAAGGCGTGGCGCAGTCATAGCTATCGGCGCCAAGAGGCGGGGGAAGCTCTGCGTCGAGATACTGGTGTAGCGAGAGCTCGAGCATAGTTGCCCATAGTCGTCTGCGGAGTTCTGTCTCGGCTTCCTTGGCCGGCTTCGCCATGGACCCTGTCCGTGGCTCTCGATGCAGGCCCATCTGCATGCCCAGGCGGGCAAGGTCATGGTCTCCCGTGAGAATTACTGTTCCATCCATACTTGGTCGTCGTGGCCAGGGGTCAGTGTGCAGCTGTGTCTGGCGCGCAAGCGCCAGTAAACACAATATTTGGGCAACATCCAAGTCAGCACGAATACCTCTTGCCGTTTTCTGAGCCAGCCACTGTCTAGTGTGTTGCACGCACATGATGGCATGGTTTCGCCGACTCGTTTGTCGCGCTCGTTCGGCCTCTGAGCTTGCCGCTCCAGGACTACTCGGGCATGTAACCGAGCCGAGCGCGATGACGACGAGTAATTTGTGGGCAAAAGCTTCTTCATGGTCTGTGCTGGGTACTCTTGACGCGTCAATTGCTTCCCAAAAGCGCTCAAACTCGCTGGTAAACACGGCCGTGTCTAGTATGCACAGGACGGAGCCGAATGTCTCAAAGTAGGCGCTGACTAGCTTCTTGCACGCCTGGCGGGGCGGCAAAAGTTGATGAATCTTGGATGAAGCATCTAGCAGTGGTGATAGACGAGCTAGGCTTTGTTTATCATCTTGTTGTTTTTGCAGCCGGGCTTGATTTTCCAGCTTCAGAACAATGCCCGATAGCGGCGGTAGTCTGAGACATTCATCAGGCTCTGCTTCGTATAGGTCGCGCAGTATCGGCACCAGTTGAGCCTCGTCTGAACTTTGATGCCGGGTAATGTCGCGGATAAGATATTCGACTTTTCCTATTCGAGCCAATATTTGATACCAGCGATCATCGCCAGAATCTGGGTTGACACCCGCGGAATGGGAAACCGAGCCGGGGTTTATTGTTTCCGTTGAGCCAGGGTACCCCTGCCGCGCCCTAGAATGGTTGGTGCTTTCCTTTTTTTCATGGTCATCGATGACGGAAAAGGTTGGGCTCTGGAAGTAGTCAGCCCCCGCATCTGCCAAATGTCCCGTGGGAGGCGTGATCTGGTGTTCCCAGCTGGGCTGCCAGTCGATGCCGAATTGATCAAGGCCGTGAAATGCGTCCGACTCAAAACTCGGCAAATTGAACTTGGTCAGATCAACACTATGAGTGTTGTTGACCTTGGGTCTCGGCTGATGCTGTGCGGTGTGCGGCCGAGGCGGTGCAGAGGCCGCGTACGCTCTAGGTTGGCTGTGATAGATGCATGAAAGAGCTGGCAGGGACTTGCGGCACGGTCCGCACGGGAAACCACGGTCGCATCGAATTTTCCGCCTGCGACACTCGCTGCATGCAACGGCAGGTCGACGTCGCCTATGCGCCGGGCCGGGCTCCATGGGCGACGAAGAATGGGGTGTAGTGTACAACCCGCTGCAGGTATATAAAGTGACAAGAAGACTGCATGGAGCAATGCCTTTTGCGAAAATTCAAATGTATATAAATGTTCCCGGTTCTACACTTGCTCTGGAGTGTCCTTCAGCCTCACGCAACTACTCAGCCTTTCATCATCAAGGGAAGCAATAGTAAACAGCCTGTCTGCCTGGGTTGTCCGTCCAGAGTGACGGTTGGGGGCGGGCTAGTAACCTTGGAAGCTTGTCTCAACCTTTCGAAACTCCATATCCGGTTGCCGAGCCCACCAAAAGGCGCCACTCACGCTGCTATAAAAGGTACGGGGACTGCCTCCTTCAGAGGCAACCGGATAGTCGTACCATGAAGAATGTGCGGAACCAGTGCGAGCAATGTTGACCTCCACCGCTGCCTGTTACTGCAGGCTCAAGCCTTTTCAGTCTACTAGTCTCTAAACCAACGCCATTACCTGCCGTGTCTGATGATGCCATCCCGCCGTGTAACCACTAGTTAGAAAGCACTAGCAAGCCTAGCATGATAGGCTTGCTGAAGTATGCCCCCCAAAATGAATGAGACTTCTGACTCATCAAACACACTTTATACGACGAATGTAATGCCTTTTTATGCACTGCGAGGCTCGGCTGGAAGGATTCTGCTGTGTAACGATGCACCGTTTAGACTCGTCAAACCACAAGGGAACGGTTTCCGATTCATTGCCAAGACGTCGTCAGCCGTGGCTGTGCATTGCATAGCTCTTTTTACTATTTCGCTGCCTACCCCTGCGGAAAGACGATCGTTGCAAACTCGAGAATAGACTTTAACCAATCGCAGCGAGGCGCATATTGGCTACCATGCATGACAGCGCCTGTCAGCTTCAAGTTGCGTCTGCCTTTGGGCAACAACATATGTACGAACATGTCAGTCAGCAATTTTTGCAGAAACGAGGTCCAGTACCCAACTGGGGTATCTGATAACTGTTGAGCCAATTGGAGTTGTCGTAGCATCTCCGAGTCTCAGCCTCGGAAAAAGGCACAGGGCGTGCTCTTAGACGACGGAAATCTCCAACAAGGCTCTGGTTGAATATCCCGATCAAGGCCGCTCATATCCAAAACGGCCGCAATAAACCTCTCGGAAAATTCTGATTTGGGGCATTCTATCTTTCCATGATATTTTCCTTGCCTAGTGACGCATTGATTCCCGTGTGCATGTAGGTCAGGCGGGTTTTCTACCACTTGGAGATAAACATGGGGTATTCGCTCAAAGACATCGGGAAACGTGACTGTAGAAGAAACTTTGCATTGTACGCCTGAAATTTATTCTTGCAAAACTATTAACGAAAATGCTGTCCCTCCTAGACAGCGTGAGCCTCCCATACCTTATCCTGTCGGCATGTCTTTCTGTCATACTGCTGCGCAGATTCCTAGCTCACGACAAGGGAGGATCCAAGTCCATCGCACAAGGCTGTTTGCCTGAGCCACGTTTGCGTCAATGGGATCCTATCTTTGGTTTTGGCATTGTCATTAGCCAGGCAAGAGCCTTGCGGGGACACCGCTATCTCGAATGGCTCCGAGACCTCCACGCCAGCATGCCTCATACAAAGACCTTTTCTGCAAACTATGGCGGCTACCGGTGGATCTTTTCCATTGAGCCAGAGATTCTCAAAGCCGTCTATGCGACCAATTTCCAAAACTTTGGCGTCGAGCCCATCAGGCAGCACCCTCCTGGATTTCAACCATTTGCCCACAAGGGTGTCAGCACCAGTGATGGCGACGACTGGAGCTTCAGTCGCACCTTGATCAAGCCCTTTTTTGAGCGAAGTGTCTATGTCAGTACTGATCGTATCAAGCCATTTGCGGACAAATTCATGACACTGCTTCCTGATGATGGAGAGACTTTTGACATACAGCCTCTGCTTCAACGATGGGTACGTGAGCTGCTGCTGTGCCCACATCATATAACAACGTACTGAGAGATTTTTGAACAACTTTTAGTTTCTCGACATTACATCTGAATTCATTTTTGGCAGATCTCAGGATTCCATGACGCATGCCGACCGTGCTGAAGTCACGTGGGCAATGGCCGATGTTCTCCGAGGCGGCCGTCAACGAGCGCAGACTCACAGAATTCTCTGGGCGTTCAATTGGGATTGGTGGTTTGAGGCCGTGGAAAAGGTACACGGTTTTCTGAATCCATACATTCGGTCGACCTTGAAAGAACTCGAGGAACGACAGCAGCGCATCAAAGATGGCCTCCCAGTCGACGAGGAGAGAACAGACTTGCTCTGGTCAATGGCCACGATGCTTCCCGACGAGGAAGAGCTGAGGTCTCAAGTCTGCCTCATCTTTGTTCCAAACAATGACACGACATCAATGTTTATCGGCCATTGCCTGTACTTCCTCGCCCGCCACTCGAACGCGTGGAAGAGACTGAGAGATGAAGTGGATGCGGTCGGCGATGCGCCCATTACTTTTGAGATGCTCAGAAACATGAAGTACCTCAACGGCATCTTGAATGAAAGTATGAAACCCAAACCCCTCTCATCTAAGCTGACCCTAGCACTGACCACACTTTGTACGCCAGCGCACCGTTTGATCCCCAACAACGTGACTCAGGTCCGAGCTGCCCTCTCAGATGTGGTACTGCCACTTGGGGGAGGACCAAACGGCAAAGCCCCCCTCGACGTTCGCAAAGGTGATATTGTTTCAGTGACAAAGACTGTCATGTATCGGGACCCCGACCAATGGGGTCCGGATGCCAACGAGTATCGGCCTGAACGCTGGGACGGCATGCGAGGCGGCTGGCACTTTTTGCCCTATGGGGGCGGGCCGAGAAGATGCCCAGCGCAGATGATGGTCCAGAACGAGTCTGCGTATATGCTTTTTCGGTTGGCGCAAAAGTATAGCACCATTGTGGCGCGGGACCCGGAGCCGTTTAGGGCCAGAATGCGTATTGGACCTTCTAGCATGCACGGAGTCAAGATTGCGTTTTACAAGTAGCTTTTAGGATACATATTCTTGCTTGAATGAAACACGCTTACAGATTAAGTCGAAGAAATGGAATGAAGTGAGAGAAATGGAATGATCCAGTTTGGTGACTTGTGTGGTGCCAGCGGGAACTTATTCCGGACGACCATTTCAGACAGCGTGACCCTCGCAAGTCGACCAAAAATTTGTTGAAAGTTTTATCAAACTCGTGTTGGCCCTGAAATTCGTAACAAAACCGGCATATATGTAACAATATGTCAAAGTCTCACCAAGGCTCAGGTATTAAAGTAGCACTAGTGACAATGGATTACGAAAGTTGACAAAGTGCACAATTAGACACTATGCATAGCCAGTCTGTGAATAGTGTAGAATTCTAGCAGATAATGATGCCAAGTACAAGTACAAAAAAAAAAAAAAACTAAACTTTGCGCCTCTTGACCAGAATACGCGCGCCAGGAGGAGGCTCGGATAATTCCCCCTGCCAAACACTGGGCGGCTGCTTGCCCTGGTAATCCTCCGGCCAGCCAAGGTCGTAGTGTGTCAGAAGCTGGGCCAGGATAATCTTGAACATCAAATCGACCATGAACCTTCCCGGGCAGGCGTGTTTTCCATGGCCAAAGGGCAAGTACTGCGGCGAAGTCGTGACAAAAGCATCCTTGGTATGACTACTAGTACTCCTGCCGTCGTCGTCGTCGTCGTCGTCGTCGTCTTTGGACGCTCTCGAAAAGCGAAAGGGGTCAAACTTTTGCGGATTGTCGAACCGGTCGGCGTCGACCTGTGCGCAAGAGGCCAGCCAGGATATGGTGGTTCCCTTTTGGAGCTTGATGCCTTCGGGGCTCTCGAGGCCGTCCTTTAGGACGGTGCGCATGGAGCCGCGCGTGCCCAGGGGAAAGTTGAGACGCATCGCTTCACGCGCGACGCTGTCGCATTTCCTCATGCGCGTAAACGTATCCTTGGTCCAGCAGCCTTTTGCGTCTGTACCTCTCATGACTTGGGTGATTTCATCTCGAAGTGTGGCTATGGTGTTGAATTCGGCGTCTGAGCCGATGATGTTGAGGATGAGATTTGTCACGGAAACGGTGGACTGGTGCATCGCGACAAAGTTGGCCGCGCACACGCGTCGCGTCATGATGCCGAGGTTGGCATACTCGTCTGGGCGCTTTTTTTGGGCGAAGCGAAGCATCATCATGAAGAGGTCCTGTGGCCCCGGGTCGCTTTTCTGGCCGTCTCTGCTTTCGAGGATGGAGATGCGCTCTTGGTACAGAGGCTCGAGGTGCTCTTGAATCCTCGAAATATTGCGACGTGTCTGCCAGCTGGCTAGAGGTCCAGTTACTGCGCGGATCAAGTCGGGAAATGGGAGGGTAGCCCAGATTGTAGTCACCATGCCGAGAATGACCTTGTAAGAGAGATCAAGATAGCCATCGTCTCGGCAAAGCGGCAGGCCGACAATAAATCGGCTTGTTGCCTGGGCAATAACCCTCCTCATGATGACTTCCAGCTCAATCTCTTTCCAATTCTCCGCATCAGTTCCCAGGTGTTTTGAAAAAGCGGCAGCTAGCTCTTCATTCAGCTGGGGGATAAGATTTTGCAGGATGGAGCTTAGATGGGCCTTGACGAGATCGAGCTGCCACGGGTCCTCCCAGTATCTGCTATGGCCAAGGCTGTACTTGGTTTGATTGAGCTCTGAGAATGCCTTTTTGATGCTCAGCGAGTCGTCGGGCTGCGACATGGCCCAATTCATTGCACTCTCGGGCATGATCATGGCAGTGTGAACACCCATGGAGGGAACTAGAACCGCTTTGCCCTTTTTGGCATACTATACAGCGTTAGTATAATTATTTGCATCTGAGATTCTCCCCATCTAGTGACTTGCAGTATGATAGGCTTCATCGAAAAGAGCGGCGCAGTCGTTGTAGTATCTCAATCTGTTGGAGAGGGAAAACCATCTTCGCTGTGGAGGTTCTCCTGCCAATGGTAACGCAGGGTAAAAGGGCTCATGATTGAGCTTCCAAAAAAGAAGAATAATGCTGACGACTCCCAGAATGCCCGTCACTTTTTCGTAGTAGCCAAGCTGGGCTACCATGGATAATACCTCGGAAAGCGCCATTTCGATTGTCGACAGAGAGTCAACAGTACTGCAGAGCGTAACAAGAATGACACTTCAAATAGCACATTATAGAAGGAAATGTGGAAAAAATCCAAGAGTAGCGTATTACAAAGACGACACTTGTATGGACAGGCAGCAAATCACTGGAAGATTCGGAATATTTATGCAGCCTCACGGAGAATTGCGGGCGCTACTGGAGTGACAGCATTCTGCAACTGTTCGATCTGATATGTTGTGACTCGCCGTTCCACAATTCTATAGGTTTACTCCGCGACTGTTGAGTTGCAGACATTATGACAGTCATCAACTACAGTCATCAAGGAAGGTTGACAATATGTGCAGATCAAAACAGCGGCGCAGTGCCGGTCGCGTACGCTACTTGGCTACGCACTAGCAACGCAATTTTTTGGATCATTTATTTAGTCACAGGACGAAATAAAGAAACTATTCAAGAAATTTGGAGCCAAGTCTGTTTATTGATTGTAACAGTTTCACTATTCGCTTGCCCTCAAAAGCCTAATTATCTTCACTAGCTGACCGATGCAAGAGCAGGATTGCAACAATGCCCAACACATCTCACATTCCCAAGGTATAGCATCAACTCAAGGCAGCGCCTCCTCTGAAATATGATAGACCAGCTTTCGGCGCTTGATCTGGCCCAGTTTGACAGCAGCTACTCCTTCTGGTACATGGAGCAGCCCACCGCTTCTTATTTCTAGGGTAGGCGCCTCAATCAACTCGGCATCCAACAGTTTCTGTGCCAGATGATACCACTCCTCGGCAAGGCGATGATCATCCGGTCTCTCATCAAGATTATATGGTGGGGCCCAAGGAATAGACTGCCCGAATTGCGTAAAGGAGCATATCCAGTCCGGCACGATGCTTCGACGCACACAGCCGCGTACCGGGAACGGGTCCAGTGAGACGTAGCGTCCGCCCGCGCTTCCAATGGCTTCGTAGCAAATGGCCATTGAGGCTGACTCGCTCAGACAGTCAATGGCAAGCGTCAGAGAGTCATTCGTGTAGTCGCGAATGTCCCGGCCACATGTTGCTGATTGATAGTCAAATGTGGCGGCCGCACCGAGACGTTTGGCACGGCTTGCAGACTCGGACGAGCAGCATGTGATGGGGTGGAAACCAGCAGCTTTGAGAATCTGTATAGCTATAGCACCTGTCGAGGTACCGCCTCCATAGACTAGGATGAAGACGTTGGCGTCGCTGTCAAAAGCACCGTCATGATGTTGAGATGCGGATGCAGCCGCAATGGATCTCGACACTGCCTGGAGCAGGGAAGACATGGAAATGTGCAGATAATGCAGCGCCATGCCAACTGATGCAATTCCAACTGGTAGGGAGGCTGCCGCTTCCAGAGACATGTGGTCAGGCACACGCCAGAGGAATCGACGTGGCAAGGTGACGTACTCGGCAAAGGCGCCATTACCGAGTACGTGCGGGTTATTGCCAAAGACAAATCCCATGACGCGATCACCAGTCTTGATTGTGTCTGCTGTTTCGGTCCTGCTCTTTGCATCACCGTGTAGAGCGACCACGATGCCGGCAAAGTCTGTTCCGCTAGTAGCGCCAGGTGTAGGAGACAGTTCTGCCGACTTGCCATCCACCGGATTGATGGCAACGCAGACGACTCGGATCAAGACTGAATCATCTTGGTCAAGCGTGGGGACAGGAGCGTCCGCAACAAGATGGAGAGTATCAGGACTGGCTACTTTGAGAGCCTTCTGAGTGAGTGGTCGGGCAGAGATGGCTGCCATGATGGGTTGAATGGCTGTCCTTGTGTTGATTGTAATCGCGAATAAATCTCGAGCAGACTCGAGACTCGGTAAGCGATTCGATTATGTAAGAGTATTTTATAACTTTTACGAGGTGATTTTGAGCTGAATGTGGTGGCACCTTTTTTGCCGGCTTGTGTCGACACTCCGAACGTATGGGTCAGCATTGACGAGGCTCGGAGCGGAGAATTCCACGGTGCTGACAAGGATTCAAAGAGGATACGCGGGTGGATTTCCGCCGAAGTTCATGTCTGTCTTACATTTGAGTCAATGTTTCGGGGAAAAGACCTGGTTCGCTGCAGCCTTGCCTGAACGCCTTGTCCCAATATTGCCACGTGGGATGAGGAGGCTTGGGTGATGCCCGTTTATACTCACGGACAGGCACGGAATATGTTGTTGGCTGAGGAGTCGACAAGGGAGATAAGACCAAAAGGGAAACAATCTGGAAGAGACTAATATAGAAAGTTCTCTAGGTGACTACTTCCAACAAATGTTAGCAAAGTGTGATTACTGCATGTATTGCCTATTGCCCATGCAAGTTCAACCATTCTACAACCGCCCTTTATCATCTTTCGTTTAGCAAAGTGTATCTACATATGCCCTTTTATTTTCCTTGATTCAGCAAAAAGTAGCCCTACGTCAAAACACCGTGAGCATGTCACCCATGAAGCAGAACGAATCAGAGTCACACTCTGTGTCTGAACCGATTGCCATTGTCGGCTCTGCATATCGGTTCCCAGGTGGTTGCAACACCCCATCCAAGCTCTGGGACCTTCTCCAGCAACCGCGAGATATCCTCAAGGAGCTTGACCCTGAACGTCTTAACCTGAGACGCTATTATCATCCTGATGGCGAGACCCACGGTTCGACAGATGTCTCGAACAAAGCCTACACCCTCGAGGAGGACATTAGCCGCTTCGATGCCTCCTTTTTCGGCATCAGCCCCCTCGAAGCGGCGAGCATGGATCCGCAACAGCGGACACTCCTCGAGGTAGTATACGAGTCGACAGAAACGGCAGGTATTCCACTGGACAAGCTTCGCGGCTCGTTGACGTCGGTCCATGTGGGCGTCATGACGACCGACTGGGCCCAGGTGCAGCGGCGCGATCCAGAGACCATGCCGCAGTATACGGCCACGGGCATCGCGAGCAGCATCATCTCCAATCGCATCTCGTACATTTTCGACCTCAAGGGTGCTTCCGAGACGATTGACACGGCCTGCTCCAGCTCGCTCGTGGCGCTGCACAATGCCGCCCGCGCGCTGCAAAGCGGCGACTGCGAAAAAGCCATTGTCGCTGGCGTCAACCTCATCCTGGACCCTGATCCCTTCATCTACGAGTCCAAGCTGCACATGCTGTCCCCCGACGCGCGGTCACGCATGTGGGACGCGGCGGCCAACGGCTACGCGCGCGGCGAGGGGGCCGCGGCTGTTGTACTCAAGACGCTGGGCCACGCTCTCCGAGACGGCGACCGGATTGAAGGCGTCATTCGCAGCACGTTTGTCAATTCGGACGGCTTGAGCTCCGGGCTGACGATGCCGTCGTCTGCGGCGCAGACGGCGCTCATCCGCCAGACATATCGCAAAGCCGGCCTCGACCCGGTCAGGGACCGACCGCAGTTTTTCGAGTGCCACGGCACTGGCACAAGGGCGGGCGATCCGGTCGAGGCGCGGGCCATTAGCGATGCGTTCCTGCCCAGCCACAGGACCAATGGAGGTGGTGCAGCTACTACAGTCGACGATCCTCTGTATGTGGGCTCAATCAAGACTGTGGTTGGGCATTTAGAAGGGTGCGCCGGCCTGGCTGGTCTTGTCAAGGTGCTTCTCAGCCTCAAACACGGCATCATTCCGCCCAACCTCTGGTTCGATAAGCTGAATCCAGAGATTGCGCGCTACTATGGGCCACTTCAGATTCCTACGAAAGCGATACCGTGGTAAGTTTTTTTTTTTTTTTCCTTTTTTTTTCTTTTTTTTAACATGTATACATGTCCTTTTTTACCACTCTGTGAACGATTTTTTTGGGGCAATGACTGATACAAAAGACTTACATATAACAGGCCCGAGTTGGCTCCTGGTACACCGTTGCGTGCCAGTGTGAATAGTTTTGGATTCGGAGGAACCAATGCCCACGCCATCATTGAGCGCTACGATGCTAGCCAGAGCTACTGCTCACAGTGGCGACGAGACATGACTGAGGAAAAGACCATTGCCAGAACGCAAAACAATGACGATGTCGAGATTCCTGTTCCGCTGGTTCTTACAGCCAAGACAGGGGGCGCTTTGTGGCGAACCGTAGATGCATATGCGCAGCATCTGAGGCAGCATCCCAAGCTTAGGGTCGCGAATCTGAGCCAGTTTATGCATTCGAGGCGATCGACTCACCGAGTTCGAGCCAGCTTCTCGGGCGCATCTCGTGAGGAGCTTGTCGAAAACATGGCCAACTTTGTCCAGGCTCATGCTGCCGACGCCAAATCACCGGCCTCGCAGAATCGCATCGGCTACTCCCCGCTGCTCATTGACCCGAAAGAAGTTTCCGGTATCCTTGGTATATTCACTGGACAAGGAGCACAGTGGCCAGCAATGGGCCGCGACATGATGCACCAGTCGCCACTGTTTCGAAAGACTATTGCAGACTGTGAGTCGGTCTTGCAGGCTCTCCCTTTAAAAGACGCCCCTGCGTGGTCCTTGTCTGAAGAGTTGAAAAAGGATGCCTCTACGTCTCGGCTGGGAGAGGCAGAGATTTCGCAGCCCCTATGTACAGCTGTGCAACTGGCTCTGGTCAATGTCCTCACTGCGTCTGGCGTCTATTTTGATGCCGTGGTCGGCCATTCGTCTGGCGAAATTGCAGCAACCTATGCGAGCGGCATCATCAATCTAAAGGCCGCAATGCAGATTGCCTATTATCGCGGCCTCTATGCCAAGCTTGCGCGAGGTCAGTCTGACGAGGCCGGCGGTATGATGGCAGCTGGGCTCTCAATGGATGACGCCGTCAAACTCTGCCGTCTACCCGAGTTTGAGGGCCGCATTCAAGTCGCCGCAAGCAACGCGCCCCAAAGTGTCACGCTTTCCGGAGACAAGGAGGCGATCAAAGCCGCCAAGGCCAAGCTCGACGCTGACGGTGTCTTTGCGCGAGAGTTAAAGGTGGACACGGCGTACCACTCGCATCACATGCTCCCATGCGCTGAACCGTACCTGAAAGCGCTTCTTGCTTGTGATATTCAAGTAAGCGCTCCGACGAAGACGCCCGGGAGGAAATGTATGTGGAGCTCGAGCGTACGAGGAGACGCCGAGCTGCTGCGTCGTGACAGAAACCTGGATAGCCTGAAAGGGCCCTATTGGGTTGCCAACATGGTCCAAACAGTCCAATTCTCCCGCGCTATTCAGTCCACCATCTGGCACGGCGGCCCATTCGACTTGGCTGTTGAAGTTGGGCCGCACCCTGCTCTCAAGGGCCCGACCGAGCAGACTCTCAAGGCCGTATATGGCTCTGCTCCATTGTACACTGGGGTTTTGAGCCGTGGTGCCAACGATGCGGTCGCATTCTCCACGGCTATTGGAAACATTTGGTCGCACCTGGGGCCGGCCTTTGTCGACATCACAGGTTACCAATCGATATTTTCAGGTACATGCGAGGGACATGGCGGCTCAGAAGCTCCTTTCATCTCGGATCTACCACTATACCCGTGGGACCACGACGAAGAGTACTGGCGCGAGTCTCGCATTTCTCGGCGTTATCGCACAGGCAAAGACGAGAGCCACGAGCTGCTCGGACGCCGCATGCCCGACGACAACGAGCGCGAGATTCGCTGGCGCAACCTGCTCAAGGTCAGCGAGCTGCCCTGGACGCAGGGCCACAGAGTTCTCGGCGAGGTCTTGCTGCCTGGAGCCGCTTACATTAGCATGGCAATCGAGGCTGGTCGACGTCTGGCACTTGATCAAGGCAGAGAAGTCTCTCTTCTTGAGGTGTCTGATGTCGACATTCTCCGCCCTGTTGTAGTCGCCGACAACAAGGAAGGCACCGAGACACTATTCACAGTGCGACTGCTCGATGAATACGCCTCGACTGGGAAAAAAAGCGACGAGCTGATGACAGCATCGTTTTCGTTTTACATCTACAACAGTCCTGCCAGCACATCCATTGTTCATACCTGCGAGGGTCGCATTGCCGTCCACCTTGGCGCGAAGCTCGGTTCCGAAGCGGCAGCGAACAGCACGCCGCAGCTGCCACCTAGGGAGCCATCGGTTTCCAACTTGCAGCAACTTGACTGCGAGAAGCTCTATTCGGTGTTTGAGACTATAGGCTTGGAGTACTCTGGGGCTTTCCGACGCATCGTCAGCAGTAGCCGGTGTCTAGGGCATGCGACAGCCACCGCATCTTGGCCCACTGCAGATCTGAATGACTGCTACCTTGTTCACCCTGCCATCTTGGATGTTGCGTTTCAGACTATTTTTGTTGCGCGGGCACACCCTGACAGCGGGCAGTTGAGCTCTGCATTGCTGCCTTCACGTATCGAGCGCGTCAGGGTCGTACCATCGTTGGCGATGGGGTCCAAACTGCAAAACAATGAGAATTTCAACGCCGCGATTGATTCTTGGGCTCTGAATCAGACTGCATCATCTTTGACTGGAAATATCAACGTGTACGACGCAGATAGCGAAAGGGCGCTCATCCAAGTCGAGGGGTTCGAAGTGAGGGCGGTTGGTGAGCCGGACGCCTCAAAGGATCGCCTTCTCTTTTATGAGACAGTTTGGGGTAGAGACATTTCCATCATGGGCTTGTCGGACCCTATTCGGGACGAGACTTCCGATGCCATGGTGCAAAATCTGAGCGAAGCCATTGAGCGCGTCAGCCTATTCTATGTGCGACAGCTTATGGGCGAGCTCAGTACCGCAGATAGGCGTCAGGCAAACTGGTATCACACCCGCATGCTCGCGGCGTTTGACCATCATTTGGCCAAAGTCCATGAGGAAACGCATCTTCACCTGCGCCCGGAATGGCTTGCAGACGACTGGACGGTCATCCAAACCATTGATGAGGCATACCCGGATGCTGTCGAGTTGCAGATGCTTCACGCCGTTGGGCAAAATGTGGCAGATGTCATCAGGGGCAAAAAGCACTTGCTAGAGGTCCTGCGTGTCGATAATCTCCTCGATCGCCTCTACACGGAAGACAAGGGCATGCACATGGCGAACCTCTTCTTGGCCAATGCACTCAAGGAAATTACCTTTAAATTTCCGCGGTGCAAGATTTTGGAGATTGGGGCTGGTACTGGCGCTACAGTAAGTGGTTTTTCTTTTCTTTTTTACCTTTCTTTCTTTCTTTTTTTTTTTTTGTTTGTTTTTTTGGCAAAAGTTGAATACCAACTCGACATGACAGACCTGGGCCGCACTGAGTGCAATTGGTGAGGCATTCGACACCTATACTTACACAGATCTTTCGGTTGGCTTTTTCGAGAATGCTGTCGAGAGATTTTCCGCATTTCGTCACAGGATGGTCTTTAGAGCCCTCGACATTGAGAAAGACCCAGCATCTCAGAGCTTTGATCTCAACTCGTACGACATCATCATTGCGACCAATGTCCTCCATGCCACGAGGAACCTGGGGGTCACGCTCGGTAATGTTCGATCTCTCTTGAAGCCCGGCGGCTATCTGCTCTTAAACGAAAAGACTGGCCCAGATAGTCTTCGCGCTACCTTTAACTTTGGTGGGCTCGAAGGCTGGTGGCTTGCCGAGGAGAAGGAGCGTCAGCTCAGCCCGCTCATGTCCCCCGATGGCTGGGATGCCCAGCTCCAAAAGGCCCAGTTCTCTGGCGTCGATCACATCGTACACGACGTTCAGGAAGATCAGCAAGATAAGCAGCAAAACTCCATGATTATGAGTCAAGCCGTGGATGACACGTTCTATGCCCGGCTCTCCCCGCTTTCCGAAATGGCCAACCTATTGCCTATGAATGAGCCGCTGCTCATCATCGGAGGTCAAACAACCGCTACGTTGAAGATGATTAAAGAGATTCAAAAGCTGCTACCTCGACAGTGGAGGCACAAGGTGCGTCTCATTGCCAGTGTCAATCATCTCGAGGCCGAGGGCGTGCCTGCTCACTCGAATGTGATTTGCCTGCAAGAGCTAGACAGAGGACTGTTTACGACAGCCATGACGTCAAAGTGTCTGGATGCTCTAAAGACACTTTTCATCAACACGCGAAACCTCTTGTGGGTGACAAATGCCCAACACTCTAGCTCCATGACTCCCAGAGCTAGCATGTTTCGAGGCATCACTCGCGTCTTGGATGGAGAAATCCCTCATATTCGCACCCAAGTTCTTGGCATTGAGCCCAGAGCAACTTCTTCCGCGACGGCAAGAAATTTGCTAGAAGCGTTCCTGCGACTACGATCTGATGATGGTCGTCACGCAGCCAATGTCGACGAAGACGGTGCAGATGGCAGTAGCCAGCAAGTGTTGTGGTTGCATGAACCAGAGGCTGAGCTTTTGTCGAACGGTACCATGATGATTCCCCGAGTCAAAGCGCGCAAGTCCCTGAATGACACGTATCTTGCTTCCACTAGGGCTATATCTACGACAGTGGACGCTCGCTGTGTTTCCGTCCAAGCCGTGGCCGGGCCCGCCAAGATGCTGCTTCGACCTGTTGAAGATTTTGCTGTCGAGCATGCAATCTCCAGCCAGTCTACAGATTCGAAAGTACACATTCAAGTCGAATCAACTCTGCACATCCCCGAAGCGCTGGACGGCACCTGTCTCTACCTTGTCTGCGGCTGGACACGGACGGCTGAAACATCTGTTCCGGTAATAGCGCTCTCCACCAGCAATGCCTCGATTGTTGCCGTCGAGTCCAAGGCAGTAGCCATGATTGATGAGGCTGATGTGAAACCTGAAACCCTTTTCCGAGTATTCCAGCACATGGCTATGCAAGCTCTGGATTCTGCAGTCGGGCGTCATGGCCAGGGTCAATCAACAGCTCTGATCTACGGCGCCGACGAAGAATTAGCCAAGCTGACCTCGGAAAGATTCGCGGTCCGTGAGAGCAAGGTTTACTTTGCATCTACACGTACTTCTGCCCCGGGCGACTGGCTCAAGGTCCAGCCTCTACTTAGCAAGTTTGCCCTGAGTCAAATGATGCCCGCTGATGTTGAGGTATTCATTGACTGCCTTGGCGACACAGAGTCTTTTGACGCGTGCCGTACTCTCGAGTCCTGCTTATCAACGACAAGCACGGTGCACCGTCTCGACGCCTGTCTGCTTTCGCGAATGTCTCAATGCTCTCCCGACACTCTTGCTGATGCATATTCACATGCAAAGACGCAGTCGAATGCCGAGTTTAGCTGGAACGGCAATGTCCAAACGTTTACAGCTGCGGAACTTGCGGGCAAGCTCAGTCACTCGCTCATGCACAGCGTGTACATGACAGATTGGCAGGAGAAGGACTCTATACTGGTGACTGTACCGCCCCTCCAGACCCGTGGGCTTTTCAAGAGCGACAGAACCTATCTCATGGTTGGCGCAGCAGGCGGGCTTGGCACGTCTATATGCCGTTGGATGGTGCGCAATGGTGCGCGACATGTTGTTGTGACGAGCCGCAATCCCAAAGCCGATCCAGAAATGCTGAACGAGGCGAGGCGCTACGGCGCCGCCGTTAAAGTTGTGCCAATGGACGCTTGCAGCAAAGACTGTGTGCAGACTGTCGTGGACATGATTCGAGACACCATGCCGCCCATTGCTGGTGTATGCAATGCCGCCATGGTCTTGCGTGACAAGCTCTTTCTGGACATGAATGTCGATCATATGAACAATGTCCTTGGTCCCAAGATGCAAGGCACGGAGCATCTGGACTCAATTTTCGCCCAAGAGCCTCTCGACTTTTTTGTTTTGCTAAGCTCGAGCGCTGCCATTCTGAATAATACAGGCCAGTCAAACTACCACTGCGCAAATCTCTACATGGACAGCCTAGTCACGAATCGGCGCTCGAGAGGACTCGCAGCTTCCATTATCCATGTCGGTCATGTCTGCGACACGGGCTACGTTGCCCGCTTGGTTGACGACAGCAAGGTGCAGATGAGCCTAGGTACCACGCGAGTGATGAGCGTCTCGGAGACTGATGTGCATCATGCCTTTGCCGAGGCGGTCCGCGGAGGGCAGCCAGACAGCCGGAGCGGCTCCCACAACATCATAATGGGTATTGAGCCGCCGACGAAACCTCTGGATGTCGCTAAACGAAAGCCAGTGTGGATTTCTGATCCTCGGCTCGGCCACATGCTGCCTTTTAGCACTCTGGAGAATCAGATGGTTGCCTCGGAGCAAGCAGCCGCATCGGCGGCAGACAGTCTAGCGCAGCAGGTCAGCGAAGCAACAACAGATGAAGAGGCTGCTGCCGCCGCGCTCAAGGGGTTTGCCACCAAGCTTGAAGGTATCCTGCTGTTGCCCCTAGGAAGCATCGGCGAGGACAGTGCGGGCAGACCGGTGACTGACTTGGGCATCGACTCTCTGGTGGCCGTTGAGATTCGGACTTGGTTCTTGAAGCAGCTGCGCGTCGACGTTCCCGTCATGAAGATTCTAGGGGGCAGCACGGTCGGGCAGCTGTCCGCATTGGCAGCCAAGCTCGCCCGGCAGGATGCGAAGAAACGGGCACAACTCGAAGAGGCTTCTGGGAACCAACCCGTTGCTCTCCCACCACTAAATGACAAGGAAACAGGGCCAAGTAAGAAGGGCAAAGCACAAGAGTTTCCTGAGACTGTACAAGTAGTAGGTACAGCGGCGGAAAGAACGGAACCTCTTGTACTTGAAGCGTCAGACAGGGGAGGCTCTTCCACTGCCAATTTCACCACGAGCAGCAGCGTCTCCGAGTTGGATGACAGTCTGCAGGAGTCTACTCTTCAATCATCTGAGAACAACGGCGAGTCAACTCCCAGCAAATCTAGCAATTGCAACTCTGATTCCGGATCGGACAATCAAGCGCCCAGAGAGATTTCGTCGAATGGCTTCTTCACCCAACCAGCAGCGACTGCGCGTCCAAACGTACTACGAGAGGCGCCAATGTCGCCCGCCCAGTCCCGCATCTGGTTTCTATCAAAGCACATTGCAGAACCAGACGCCTACAACATGGTATTCCACTACCGCGTCCGCGGGCCCCTCAGCATGGTGCGCCTCCGTCACGCCCTGCAGACCGTCACCAACCACCACGAGTGTCTTTGCATGTGCTTCTACGCCAGCGCCGACAACGGGCAGCCCATGCAGGGCCTTCTGGCGTCGTCTGCGTCTCAAATGACCATTGTCCCGGGCGGCGAGGAACAAGACTTGCAGAGGGAGCTGCGCAAGCTCAAGACGCGCGTGTGGAGCGTCGAGAGCGGGCAGACGCTGGAGCTGGTGGTTGTTGGCCCGCGGCCCGGCACAGCGGCAGCGGAAGAAGAAGAGTTTTCGCTGCTATTTGGTTATCACCACATCGTCATGGACGCGATTAGCTTTTCCATCTTCTTGGCCGATCTGGACAAGGCATACCGCATGCTGCCGCTCGACAAGGCTTCTGCGGGATCGCACCTCGACCTGGCTGCGCATCAGCGACAGCAGGAACACGCGGGCGCGTGGAAAGAGTCGTTGGAATTCTGGCAGGCCGAGTTTGAGACGATTCCAGAGATGCTTCCGCCGCTATCCGTTGCGTTGCCGACTCTTCAACGAGGCGCAGTCGGAACGCATCGTGTACTGCGCGAGCTTGCCCATGAACAAGGCGGCGACGCCGCCATCAAGAAGACGTGCAAGAATCTCCGCGTCAGCCCCTTTAACCTTCACATTGCCGTGCTGCAAGTGGTGATTGCGCGTCTGGGCAGCATCGAAGACGTCTGTGTAGGCATCGTGGATGCCAACCGCAGCGACTCTCGTGCCTCGCGCATGGTTGGCTGTTTTGTCAATATGCTCCCCGTCCGGTCCCGAATTCTGCCCTCCGCGACCCTCGCAGACGTCGCCCGCGCCGCATCTTCCAAAGCCCTTGCCGCTTTTGCGCACGGCCAGGTGCCGCTGGACAGCATCCTCGACAAGGTAAAGGCGCCGCGGCCCGCTGGCAGCACGCCGCTGTTCCAGGTCGCCCTCAACTATCGCCCAGCGGCCGCGATAGCCTCCAAGCAAAGCCTGGGAGGCGAGTGCGAGATGGAGCTGCTTGCCGACGACTTTAAAGATGCGGAGAATCCTTTCGAGATTAGCGTCCTGGTCAGCGAGATGCCGGGCGGCCGAATCGCGGTCGAGGTGGTCTGCCAGAAATCCCGGTACACTATGCAGGCGACTGAAGCGCTCCTCGACGCGTACTTGAATGTGCTGGCGGGATTCTTGTCAGACACGGCCCAGAGCGTCGGCGACTGTGTAGTACATGACCAGAGTAAAGTCGAGCATGCTCTGGACTTGGGCAAGGGGGCGCAGAAGAGCTTTGGGTGGCCTCGTACGCTGTCTGAGCGAGTGATGAGTATCTGCCAGCAGCACTCGACCAAGTCTGCAATCAAAGATGGTCGAAACGAGCTTTCTTATGCTCAATTAGCCTCTAAGGTTAACCACACAGCCAGCGCCCTCGTTAACGCAGGCTGCAGTGTCGGTTCTCGCATCGCAGTCTTATGCAACCCCTCGATTGATGCCATTGTCGCCATGCTGGCCATTCTCCATATCGGCGGTGTATATGTTCCTCTTGACACCAGTCTGCCCGAGGCTCGTCATCAGTCTCTAGCATCAAACTGCACACCAAGCCTAATCATCTCCCACGCGGCTACCAGAGAGCGCGCCCACAAGCTCAGCGCTGTAATCAGTGCTCCTGGCCACGAGCCGGCTCGCGAGCTCACACTAGACGACTTGTCGCCAGACGAGACTGGATACATGGCGCCGCTCAATGCCGAGCCAAACGCCCCCGCCATCCTGCTATACACCAGTGGCTCAACGGGCACCCCAAAGGGCGTTTTGCTCACGCAAGCAAACTTTGGCAACCACATTGCGCTAAAGACGGACATTCTCGGTCTGCAACGAGGCGAGTGCGTCCTGCAGCAGAGCTCGCTCGGCTTTGACATGTCTCTGGTGCAAGTCTTTTGCGCTCTCGCCAACGGCGGCTGTCTTGTCATTGTCCCGCAAGATGTCAGACGTGATCCGATGGAACTGACAAGCCTCATGGCCCAGCACAAGGTGTCGCTCACAATCGCTACGCCATCAGAGTACCTCGCTTGGCTGCAGTATGGATCCGACGCGCTCGCGCAGGCCACGTCATGGAAGCATTTGTGCATGGGCGGCGAGCCGATCCCGCAGCTCCTAAAAGATGAACTGCGACGCCGTCTTGAGCGCAAGGACTTGGTGGTGGTGTCCAATTGCTATGGGCCGACGGAAACGACGGCGGCGATATCGTTTCAGTCCATCGCTCTCGACTCGCAAGACAGCCACGAGCAGCTGCCAGGCGAGAGCGAGCTGGCCAACTACGCTGTGGGCAAAGCGCTTCCCAACTACTCGATCCGCATCAGGGACCCTGCCGGCGGCGCCTGGCTACCTGTCAACCACACGGGTGAAATCGTGATTGGCGGCGCTGGCGTTGCCTTGGGGTATCTGGACATGCCCGAGGAGACGCGAGCCCGGTTTTTGCAGACCCCCGGCGAGGAGGATGGCATGTTGTTGTATCGCACGGGCGACAAGGGCCGTCTGCTGTCCGACGGCACCTTGCTCTGCTTTGGGCGCATCACGGGAGATAACCAGGTCAAGCTCCGCGGTCTTCGTATCGAGCTCGGCGAGGTCGAAGCCGCTCTGCTCCAAGCTTCACAGGGCCTGATTCACACTGCCGTTGTATCCCGTCGCGGGGACGTGCTCGTCGCACACTGCGCGCGCTCGCACGAGAGCAGCAGAGAAACTACGGGCGGGGGAGGAGAGCAACAAGACGCCGCCACCGCCATTCTTCGTCGCGTTTCGGAGCTGCTACCCCAGTATTCTGTTCCCGCAGCCATTGCCCTGCTCCCCTCGCTGCCGACCAATGCCAATGGCAAACTCGACCGCACGGCCATTGCCGCTCTGCCTCTCTCCCCGCAAGACGAAGCCGCCGCCGCCACTTCTCCATCCAACGACAACAATAACAACAACACCCCCTCGGGCGGCGGCGGCGAAAAGATGACGGTCCGTCAAGGTGAGCTACGGCTGCTGTGGGAGCGTGTTCTGCCCCGCGACGCCACCACCACCACCACCACCAACAGTGTGCGCATCACGCCCGAGTCCGACTTTTTCCTGCGCGGCGGCAACTCTCTGCTGCTGATGAAGCTGCAGGCCGCCATCCGCGAGTCCATGGGCGTGCGCGTCTCGACAAAGGCGCTGTACCAGGCCAGCACGCTCAGCGGCATGGCGCGGTGCGTCGCGGAGCAGCGGAGCGACGACGATGAAGCGGAAGAGGACATTGACTGGGCGGCCGAGGTGGCTGTGCCGCCCTCGATGCTGGCACAGATTGAAAAGCTGCAGCATTCCTCTGCTTCTTCGTCTTCTTCTTCTTCTTCATCTTCTGCAGGGTCCTCCTCTACGCAGCGACCACGCAAGACGTCCGGGCTGCAGATTCTTTTAACAGGCGCCACGGGCTTCCTCGGCGGCCAGCTCCTCGAGCGCCTTGTCCAGTCACCTCGCGTCTCTACGGTGCACTGCGTCGCTGTACCCGTCGACGAGCAATCATTACTCGAGCCCTTCTTGCAGCAACAAGCCGACGGAACAAGAAGAAAAGTGCGTTGCTACATTGGCAACCTGGCCGCTCCCGCTCTCGGCCTCACCGCCGCGGACCAGACTGCGCTTTCGCAAACCGCCGACGTCATTGTCCACGCCGGCTCCATGGGCCACTGCCTCAACACGTACGCCACGCTGTCGGCGCCCAACTTTGCCTCGACCCGGCATCTCTGCGCCCTCGCCCTGAGCCGCTCCCCGCCCATCCCGCTCGCGTTTGCGTCGTCAAACCGCGTCGCGCTGCTGACGGGCAGCACCGCGCCGCCTCCGGGTTCCGCCGCCGCGTTCCCCCCGCCGCCGGGCGCGCAGGGCTTTACGGCGAGTAAGTGGGCCAGCGAGGCGTTTTTGGAGAAGCTCACGGCGAGCATGTCCGACGTCTCCAAAACGAAAACGAAAACGACGACGACAGTGATGCCGTGGAGGGTCTCGATACATAGGCCCTGCGCGCTGATTAGCGATCGCGCGCCCAACTCTGATGCGCTCAACGCCATTCTGCGCTACTCGACCTCGATGCGTTGCGTGCCGTCGTTGCCGGAGCACAGGGCCGAGGGATACTTGGACTTTGGGCAGGTGGACAAGGTGGTTGAGGAAATGGTGGGCGACATCCTCGGGCTCGCGGATGAGCGTCCGCAAGAGGGACCTGCCGTCGTGTATAGGCATCATTCCGGAGGCGTCAAGGTGCCGATTCACGAGTTTCGGGAGCACATGGAATCTGTCTATGGAGGACGCTTTGAAAGTGTTCAACTTGGACAATGGATCATCCGCGCCGTCGACGCCGGCATGGATCCATTGATTAGCGCCTATCTCGAGACCTTTTTAGAGGGTGACGCGTCCATGGTTTTTCCTTATATGGGAGAGCAAGCAGTTTGAGAATTTCTCAAGTTTACAGTTTTGGATTATATTTAGATTTTAATAGTCATTATTGTTCAATCATGACAGCATGCTGCGTCATCTTCATTGCACCGAGAAAAAGCTTCATCTGGTTCATCATCTTGACCCCATATTACCCCCAACCCAAAACGACCCGTCCAGCGTTCCTTCGTCAGTAATCATCCAATTCATCAAATCTAGCGTTTCATTCGTCGATTGAAACATCATATGAGGCATCTAACATCGATTCATAAGTAAAAGAAGCGAGGCGGCCATCAGAGCATCTTACCTGTGAATCGTAGCCTTCAGTCATGCCTGGCGGCGTCGCCATCGCCGTCGCAAATGTGCTATCAAGGTTAGAGTTTGAAACCCTCCGGGCTGCTCCTGCTCTTCGCATATTCTCAAGACTGTTCAGGCTAACATCCAAGGCGTCCTCCACGGCGCCGAGTATGGCACTTCGAGTGTCGTCGGGCCCCATGCCTTGCTGCAGACTGTAAATTTGCATCGTGATCAGACAAATGAACAGATACCCCTTTACATTTGTCTCGCCGGCATCAATACTTTGCATAGTAAAGTGTTTAGCGTCTTCCAACACGGAGATGAGATCTGGCCGTAGCATGGCCGGGCCCAGGCTCTCTTGTTCCTGCAGTTGTGTCCTCAGCTCGAATGCTACAGTCAAGTTGGCGTGAAACGCAGCAGAGCGAAAAAATCCTGCTGCAGATCCGCACCGTGCAAAGCGACCAAATTTGTCCGTCGCGGATGAATTTGCAAAGTCAATAATAGACTCTGTGCCTATGCCGAGCGGCGCCCTTTGCCAGGATGAGCTCGCCGCACGCCAAATCCGCAGGGCTCTATCCACAGCGGCTTGTCTCGAGAATGCGTAGGTAGGATCGTGTTGTGCTTTCTCGAGAAACGGAACGTGCAGGGACGAAATGTACCGGTGTACAATAACATCCAGGGCCTTAATGTCAAAACGCGGCGCCGACGCCGGATGAATGAGCCCAGCACGTGTAAGCGTCCGAAACACGTCTTTGTATACGTCTCGCAGCCCTTGGTCAAGTTTTTGGGCTTCTTCGTAAGTTACCTGCGCATTGACGTCATTGAGCATCTTGGCCACTGCCAAGCGAAGTGGAAACATTTTCCGTAGCGCAATGGGAATTGTCATCTGGGTAAACTGTTGCTCTGTCTTCGGCAAAGGGTCTTTTACTTCGGGCATCAATTGATCGTCGTCAAAGTTTCCAGGACAAGGTGCGTCAAAATCGTCAGTCGAGACGAGCGGAGGCTTTCCAGCTACAAAGCTTGACTGCAGAGCCAGCTCCAGCACCGTGTTCCACAGTCGAAGACACATTTCATGCGCAAGTCTTGGGCGCGACGCAACAAACTGGTCCGTCGGATCTCGGTGCAGGCCCATGTGCATGGCAGTCCTGACAAGAGCACCAGCTGCGATCCAAAGCGCATGAGCCTCAAGACCTATCGCCTCTTGTGCTATCAAAAGTAAGACACTGATCTGCAATGACTGGATGCTGAGCCGCGATTTGCTGCCCGGTTCTGACAGGTACGTCTGGGCTTCGTACACCCAGGTCATGGCCGAGGAGCGTAGAGAAAATGTGTCGTCGTAGGTGGTAGCCCCAATGGCCAGTACTAGTTTGAGCTGCATCAAAAAGGCCTTGTCTGGCAACGCATCCTGGCCGAGTAGCCAAAGAGAATCGTAATCCCTTCTGAAAGACGGCATGTGCAAGACCCTGTACAGGGTCTCGGAAGTGTCTAGGTACGAGTCGACCAACTCATCGGCCAAGTTCTTTGCGGGTAAAACTGCAGTCGGTGCAGTTGGCCAGACTGGCGCCCTCTGTATCTTGATTTCTCTCGCCAGAGCTTTGCACTTGCGCATCGCCGAGAGCGCCTTGGAGTCCTCGACGCACAAATCCTTTACGATGGTCTCTGCTAGGTCTGGAAACTAGAAAACTGTGAGCAAGGCAAAGACTGAGAACCGAGACGTTGCAGATTTTGTCGTGAAAAAGACGTACCATCATAATGATGGTGAGCCAGTGACTTTGACCATAGAAGCGCGCCTTATGTGTCACGCCGCGAGCGACAGCCATAGTGTTTCCGAAGAATGTGCTTCCCACTGGCTGCTGGTTGGAGCAGACGTCACTCGCCAAGGACTTGGGCCCTCGTACTGACTGAGGCGCGGAAATCGAGGGGTATGATTGATTGTAGTCTGATTTAGTGGCATGCGATTGAGACGCAGATGGCGTCGCCGCCCGTGTTCGAGGCACCACCACAACCGCCTCTGCTTCATCAGATGAAAGAGGGCCCGCAGCTGGCGAGATGAGTCGAGGTGTAGATAAAGGTGTCAGCCGTTTCTGGTTCATAGATGACCGGCGTCGAGACTGTCGCGCGGGGTCAAGAGTTGAGACGTCCTCATAGACGCAGTCTCGCTCTGGGTTCTTTGATCGCGATCGCAGGCAATTCCGGCAGGGATGTTGACGGTCGCATTTTAGCTTGCGCTTTCGACAAACAGTGCAAGACCTGATTGTTCAGCTTCTCTAGCAAGATTCCGTGACAAAATAATTAGCCAAGGACTTACACCAATGGTCGTCCAGGCCCAGCCTTGACCGTTGTTTCCATGATGACGACGCAAAGGTCCCTCACTCGAAACAGCCTAAGCGCGGGAACAGTCGACTGATCAATTCAGTGTGAGGAAGCTAGAATTGGGGCTTTCAGAATGTTGACGTGGTTTGCTCGTCGATGCAGAAGGCAGGAGTGCTGGAGGCACACGGGTAGACTGGCGTCGTCAATACCCCTATTATTGCTTTGTTGTGCGCGTTCCTCTAGCGAACAACAGCATCGCATGACAGGTACCACACTCTTGCAGCAGAATACAGAATATACGGCAGGACTCGGTGGAATTCGGCACTGGTGTGGAAATGAAATGTGTTTCCCTGGAGAAGCCTCGAGTCGGAATCGGGCTGCTTCTCTCGGCAAACGGCTGGCGCAACAATCCACTTGCGCAGTTTATGGATCAGGTGACTACAGCAGAACGCTGTTCTCGTAGCAGGGATGGTTGACTTCGGTCATAGAGTAATGGAGGTGTTATGATAGCGCTATTATATTCCCTTGCAATTTCCATCTGATTTAATACGCCTAGTCATTATCGATGATCTTTTCTCTGAAGTCCTGTTTACAGCTTCTACGGATAAAGGTGGGACCTATTAGCTTCAAATCTACTCTACAGCATATCCTATAGTACCCGACTCACACAAGGCTAATGCAGCTATAATAAAAATTGTCTCTAGGGGTAATATCGTAATTCCGACGCGGAAATCGAGCTTATATAAGACGTTAAAGGACAGAGTAATTAACTAGATACTTGTCTACTTCTCTTTTATCTGTAGTAGTCTTACGGCAGAACTAGCGTGGGGCCAAGCTCCTAATTCCCGAGTCTCATCCCAGCCTGGTTTGCTATGTTAGCAAAACTCGCGCGCATTTGCCGACTTTCACCCCTCCTAATCAGTCAGTCACCTTAAAGGGACCATGTTATTATTCGTATTTCACACCCAAGATGTTTTTAAAGCCCAATTTAACCGCACTGATAAGATCGGAAATAATTTCACACCATGTATTGACCCCTGATTCCCATTTTTCAGCAACAATTCGCCACTAATTTTTTATCAGATCCGACCTGAGGCCGACTTTAGCTCAATGGCCAAACTCGGGCATCAATTCCCGACTTTGACAGTCTGTATATAAGAGCAAAAAGCATTGTCGTCTGCCTACACTCGCGCATCCTAGCATTACAAGCAGACTACACTACGCCGTCCTCGCCATTGTGAATTAAACCCAATCATGGCAACCTACGATTCTCAAACGGCATCGAGCCCGCCCACTGAAAAGCGTACCGACTCCTCACAGGCCAGCGCCGAGCTGGGCCAGCCCGAGAACCACGCCGCCACGAATGGCAGCGCCGACATGTCCAAAGCGCCCGATGGTGGCCTCGAGGCCTGGCTCGTCGCGGGCGGCGCCTTTTGTGTCTTTTTTTGTTGCCTGGGCTTCTCCAACTCGTTTGGCGTGCTGGCCGACTACTACATCCAACACCAGCTTCACGGCACTTCCCCCTCCAAGCTTGCCTGGATTGGTTCGCTGGGTGTCTTTTTGCAATTCTTTTCCGGCATGATTGGGGGGCCGTTATTTGATCGGTATGGCGCAAAGGCAAGTCAAGACCTTCTTTGTCGGCGCCCAACTTGAATAAGTGTACTAATGGCAACGTCTTTTAGATAATTCAACCAGCCGCTATCCTATACATTGTCTCCATGATGCTTCTCAGCCTTTGCAAGTCGTACTGGCAGTTTATGCTATGCCAAGCAGTGTTGCAGGGCATCCTTCAGGGCTTGTTGCAATTCCCCTCCATGGCAGCGGTTTCGCAATTTTTTGACGTGAACCGTGCGGCGGCCATCGGCGTCGCCGTCTCTGGCTCTTCTATCGGCGGCATCATCATGCCCATGGCCCTATCCAAGATGCTCAACGGCACCAATTTGGGTTTCGGCTGGAGCATTCGTGTCATCGGCTTCCTCATGCTGCCATTTTTAGTCGTTGCTGTTTTCACTGTCAAGGCTCGACTCCCACCACGCGCTCGAGCCTTTTGGCTTTCCGAGGCCTTTAGAGACCCCAAGCTCATTGTCTTGACTTTGGCCACATTCTTCGTCTTCATTGGCATGTTTCTTCCTCTATTCTTCATCCCGACGTATGCCACCATGCGCGGCATGCAACCAACGCTGGCCGGCTATCTCTCTGCAATCCTCAACGCTTCGTCGACGTTTGGTCGTATCATCCCGGGCGTGATGGCGGACAAGCTCGGCAAGCTCAACGTCTACTCAGTCGGAGCAGTTACCACTGCCATTGTCATTTTTTGCATGAACGAGGCCAAGTCCAACGCAGCTCTGATTGTTTACGCGGTCATATTTGGCTTCACCTCGGGCACCATCATCTCGGGTGCCTCGGTCGCCTTTACCGTGTGCTGTCCCGATGTCAGAGATGTGGGCACATATGCCGGTATGGGTATGGCCTTTGCTGCTCTTGGAGGGCTCGTGGGCCCGCCTTTGGACGGCGTCCTAGTTGAGCATTACAAGGGAAATTTTTTCCAGGCAGCCGTGTTCAGTGGCAGCGTGTGCTTATTTGGTGGTTGTCTTGCGTATGCGAACAAATGGTTCTTCCCACAGGGCCTGTTGGGGAGGGCCTAAGGTCGTGTATTGGTATAAATGTCCGCTTCTATTTTAGAGGTTAGAACAACAACTTAAGCGGGCATGCCGCCAACGCTTGTAGACCCTCGCTGTTGATAAATTTTTTTTAAATGCTTTTATTCTAGAAAGCTACCAATTAATTCCCGTACTAGCATATATTAATGAGCAATTGTCTAGGGCAGCATAGATTCCGTCAATTGCTGCACCTCAAGATACAGGTGACCCAGTGATTTGCTTTATCCGATCTGATGCGGCCATAGCTAGGAGGGATAGCCTCGCGAGAACCTTGTTCATCGAGCGTACCGATTTGGTGTGTCCGCCACCTCCATACTACCCTAGAAAGCATCTCATATCCGTCCTCATTACTACGCTCATCTCCATCTGGTGTTCGCCTAACCTAATTGCCAGAGAACATCAGAAACGAATGACTGGCGCGCCAGCGACGCATCTTGGACGGTTCGAGCCAGATTAGGAGGGGGAAGCGCCAAGTAAATACGGAACGTCCTCTAAGGATGCAAATGGTAATTTTGCATTGGAGCCCACACGGTCGGCTTCGAGGCTCAAGGCGTCATGATGCTCGCGTACATGACTTTTTTTTTGTAGGCGTACATAGTATGAGATGGCGTTATTGTCAATTAATCCAGAGTCTACGGTGTTCCATTCAGTATTTGACAAAATGACGTATGCAAGTCTTACTCTACAAAGCTGCTTTATACTGATTCGGGATTCGGGGGACAGGGTTTTGCTGCGGGTGGGGATATACCCCGTGCTACCGAAAAAGTTGACGCAAGTGTCCACGCTGCGAGAAACGACTGATGGCATAAGAAGTAGCCTGCCAGATGAGGTTATACCTTTGACAGTAAAAGAGGAGATTAAAGGTCACCAGAAATATCATCACCAAGTGCCTTGAGATATCCCCTTGATAGTATCTGTAAGGGAGAATTTTAAAGTCACCTATAGGGTATATAAATAGACTCGGCTAAGTTATAGTTGGTTACTTCGTAATTTAGCGAGAAAACAGCTTCATAGTGTTTTAAAAAAGTAGCATGCTCGGTTATCTGACTGACTACCCCTTATGTTATTAATAGCTATAGAGCCCCTTAGGGAAAAAACATGATAATTGTCCCATATGCAAATTCATCTCCACTGTAGACAGCTATGCCAAGCCAGATATTTGGTCGTAACTACCATGGGCCTAGTTTGTCTTGGCCAACGGAGAGGGACAAACCTAAACCTGGTGCATCTTTTTAGCCAAAAACGCTCAAGCGGCAAGTAGATCGGATGAGCAAAGTTGGGAAAAGCCCACCATCCTAGTATATTCTACGTAGGCGAGCACGCTCAAAGTGGAGATGTATGCTTGGTGGTGCAGAACTGTCTATTTTTGGAAGCTTTTTTTTTTTTAGCTGAAAACGTGGGGCTACGATCCCAACGTCCCTGCATCTTCGCAGCTTGGACCATGATGGCCTACTATATATAGAGACTTGAATTATTAGGGACAAGATGTTCAAGAAATGCCAATCAAATGTGTATTATAGGCTGTACATTGAAAACTTTGGGGCCCACAAGCTAGGCCGCCGTGCATATACCCGTGCCGGTGACTATGCCCTGCACTTGGGATTATGAGACAGGGCGATTTTGAGTCAGGCAGTATATGCAGAAGAGATATCCTTATGATTGAAGCGAACAGACCACACTCAATCCACTATTGACAAAGAAATGGATCCTGCATCGTGTGGGATGATTTCGCCGATGTAATTACAAGTCAAAGGGAGACACAATGCATGCTAGTATACCCCAATAGACATAAAAAAAAATCTCGGCATAACGAAACCTCCGTTGAAAAAGGCCGGTTTTGCAAAGGGCAGCACCAAGAATAGACCCCTAGCGATTTTTCACTACCAGTCCGTCATAGCTAGTCAGGTCACCCTGTCTGCCTTTGCTGGTCGTTGAGCGGGGTTTTACTTTGCTCGGTATCGGCTAGAACAAGCTTCATTCCTTCTCACTCACTCTTTCTCTGGATCTCCCATGACGGCGGTTTGTCCTATCCGGGCATGTGGGGACGAGGGTACGGTAAGAGTGCCAGACGCGTGGCTCAGCCTTTATAGTGTATGCACTGGCATTCCCAATGCCTGGTTACTCTCCTCCCTCGTCTAGTCTCCCTTTCCCTCCTTCCGCTGTTTCTATCATAAGTTCTACCTTACCCCTTCTTTAATACTCTTGCTTTGTCTTGTATTGTATCATAGCACCCACACCTCAGCTTTTGCTCGGACTTTCCTCTTCTTCGTCGCGCTCCTGCCTTTTATACTCGCCCCTGGAAGTTTTTATTGAGACATATTATCTTCTTCCTCATATATCATCTGCCGCTACAAATATTACTCTGCACACGACAAGCACCCTTCGTCGCTCCGATCCCTCCAGCTGCCGCAGTCTATGACAGAGAAAGTGGTGTTGATACAATATCTTATTGCTAGCTACCTTCGTCCCACGAAAGCTCTCGGTCGAAAAAATCTTGGCTCTCTGTGCTAGGAGACGATTGACACTGCACAACACGAGTTTGAGTCACTCACGATCACTTCCGCTGTTCCCGTAACAAACTGGCAATCCTGCCCAGCCAATAGCAAGTGCCGCAGAGACGCCTCCTCTCTGATCATCATTTGTCTCTTGATACTTCTGCTGCCTCGTCGACTTATTCACCGTGTCCTTTGCTCCGATACCCTTGACTTCTGCACTCGTTTACGCGGCATTGTCCAATCTCACACTTTCGCTTCCTGACCATTCGTCTTGCATGTGATTGATTACCCTTGTTCTGTCTGTATATGCTCGTCGCTCATGCACTTCGACTCCAATTACTAACACTTGTCTCAGGTCTCACACGTTTTCACCCTCATCCCCTCCGATCCAATGACCCGTCCCGGTAGTGGTCCTCCTCGACGCGGCCATATCAAGTCTCGTAATGGCTGTGAAACCTGCAAGCGGCGCCACATTCGATGTGATGAGGGCTTCCCTCAGTGCTCCAACTGCACCAAACATAAGAGTCGCTGCCCGTATAATGACATGCACGGCAGTCCCGACCGCGCAACCACACCCGACGAACCTGACCTGATGTGGACTTCTCAGATCACGACCGAAATTACAGAGTGGCAGCGGACTAGAACCTTTCCGTTTCCTTTTCTCGGTGACTACCCTGTCATCGAGCCAAAGTTCTACTCCGTCGAGGACCTACGTCTTATCTACCACCTTGCTTCTCTCTACCACCAGCTCGCCGGCATGGAGGCTAACAACCTCACTCTCTGGACTCGTCACATCCCGACGCAAGTAAAATACACATCCATTATCAGAACTCGTCTCTAATAAACTGTTAATAGGCTTCTTCGCATTGGTCACACTACACCTTACGTAATGCACGCTCTTTTGGCCTTCTCTGCTACGCATATCACCTTCCTTACTGACTGCCGTCGAGTCAGCACCATAGCTATCGAGCACCGTAGCATCGCACTGAGCGGTCTTCACACGGCAATTGGTACCTTCTCTCGTGAGACCTCGGATGCTATTCTAGCTGCCTCTCTTGTCCTGTCATGGCAGGCAAACGACTGGCAGAGCTGGCATCAACTGATGCAGGGCACTTTCGCCGTTATTAACGCCATAGACTCTTGGAAGCATGAATCGCAGTTTACCGACTTCATTGCCAAAAGTTACACTATCTACACCCCGCCAGCTGCTTTCCCTTTACCTGAATTACAGCACTACCGCAACCAACCGTCTACGGACGATCTCGACAACGCTTTTCAACGCACTCTCGACCAAGTTGAAAAGGTCGAGGCTCATCTTCGCCGCAACAATGAGGAGACCATCCAGATACAGCATCTCGTTTCCCTCCTTACGGGGGCGCGCAAGACGAGTACGCTGCCTATTGCCCAGCAGTACGAGAGCCTCCAGCCTCTCCGCAGTTGGCTCTTCTGGATGCCGGTTGGCTACCTGCAGAAGCACAGTGCCTCTGCCAGCTCTCTTGTTGTTATTGCCTACTTCTACACTGTTGCTCTACTCTTGGAGTGTCTCTTTCCAGACATTGGTGCTGCGCATTTTGCATCCCAGTCCATCTTTGCCGTTGAGGAGATTGCTCGCCGCCTGATGTCTGCTGACTCTCATGACTGGGCACGCACTCATTTGACTCTGATGCAATTTCCACTCGACTCAGTCAGCGAGTGCCGCTCTCGCATGGGTTTGGTCAACCCCGAGAGAGCTGGCTCGTTCCCATTGTACAACTCCCCTACTGGGGAGGCTACTGGCCTTGCTGGCAACGAGCCGTATAGCTATAATCACTCGACTTACTGCTACAGTGCCCAGAATATGCCCATCGAGGATAGGCCCCCGGTGAATACCTCACCTTTTGTCCATGAGCACTACCTTAATGATCCTTCGCCTTCTGTCGTGGTCTACCCGCCCGCCTCGTCTACTCTTGAGGTGCCTATCGCCTACAGCAAACCTGAAGAGTGCCCTTCTTTTGGGCCCCAGACTTTTCAGATGGGCCACTCGCCTATATTTGACACTTTGCGTTCTGATTAGGGTCACTGACCCTTTCAGTACATAGATAGAGTAGCATGAAATGTGAACTGAGAAAGTATGATATCTAGCGTTGCACTTCTACCGTAATATAATTAGAGATTGGCCCCGGCTTGATGGTGCTTTCACGAGCTACAGCCCAATCACGTGTAGTTCGTTGCATACTTTGATACCATTTTGGTTGTAAGAGGTCAAAGATGTTCAAGCGAGAGTAACTTCTGGCAGAGCTGACAAGTTAACTAGGCCGCTGAACACGTAGTCGGACAACCGAGAGCTCCTCATAGTAGTGCAACTGGTTTACACTTTTGGTCCAAGTCATTGCTCCAAGCCTTCAATGCACATCAGAAACAACTAGGGTATCATTGACAATGTGTAGCCGTGTCAAGAACTCACGGGCGTCGGATACGTCTCCCTCGGATGAGCGGATGCGTCGAAAGTACTCATTCCGATGTCGAAACATGGCACTGCATACGGCTGATGCGGGGCTGGATATGCATTACCGAACAATACCGACCGCCGAGTATTGGAGAGGCCAGGGACACACGGAAAGCATATGCCCTACCTGTACAAGCGTCGGAGCTGGTAGTCCAATTCAGGTTCCACACGTCGTAACTCCTTGACCCTCTACTTGATTGACTTTGTCATGCCTCTTACTGGTATGTTGTCCTTGATATCCCTGTTTTGAACTGACTTGTTGATGCTGGATTACGCTTCGTGCCATATACACATTCCACACAGAGCTGCTTTTGAACGGTTAGCCAAGGCGCCAAGGACAGACAACTTGTAATCAGCATGGCTTCCTGACTATCCACTCGACAAGGTTTTCCCGTGTCAGCATCCTAGCCTTGGCTGCCCAACACGCCCAATGATTCAGACTTGGAGCTTAGCAGGGCGACGAGTGGGCTAGGACCTCGCCACAACTACGCCGCCTGATGTAACCTTGATAACCCTAGATTCTATGTCCACGCTGTTCAAGACGAAGCCAGTCAAGTTCCGAGGCTCTCTCACAGTATGATCTCCGCTGTGGGCAGCCTGAAGCCGGGCGTGTCCTCGTGATTATGGGACTTGCCCTCGCGCCCTTTCGACTTCCGACGGCCCTCTGTTCATCTACGGCCAGCTCACGCTCAGACTATTGATATAATGTACGTCATAAGTGGATGACCCAGTACTATTAGCGGCTAGGGCTGAGAACGCGTGGACTTGTCGCAGTGTGTAACCGTACCCGTAGACAACTATGACCAGCCATGCACATATTATTGGGTATTACATAGCGGCCTGGGCGGACACAAACCCGGACAACTCGGTAAGCGTTGATAGTTTTACTCTGATTACTCCCCATTAAATCAAAGTATCTCACGGGCTGTGTCGCCCACGACACTTGATTCCCACTTCTTTGTAGTAGCCCCTTGTGGGACGAATCTCTGTAAGGCAGGAGGCAATGCTCTCAGCAAGCCATCGCCTGACATGGTTGTGTCACGGACAACTGATGTTGCATTTCTCGATTAATTTGGATACATTAGTCGACGTCTGCATGTTCAGTGTGAAAGAATACGACGCCGCCGCTGTTGAGCGTGGAAGCCTATATGTCTAAAAAGGCCACCACTGATGCCTACTCAAGCAAGAAACAACCTCTGTAAATGATATCATCCTTATTTCACGATCCTTTCGCAGCGAGCATAGAATGTAAAGTTATAAAAACCAGGTAAGGTTTTGTTCAAGAATGTTAAAGACCTGCGGTTATTGACCGTGATCCGCCTCTTCTACTCGAGTTTAGAGTACATACCATAAGTAGAAGCGTTCAAGTACTCTGAATTATATGTGGTAGATCAAGTAACATTATTTTGTGCGAATAGTATCACTACAAGTAAGACTATGCAAATAGTACTGATAGCAGCAATAGATATAAAAATTCGTCTTCGCGTTTGATCTCGTTTCCAGAAGGATACCACGCTTTCAGCAGCTGCACATTCTTGTGCCTCCATGGTATCCGACTCTTGCTATCCTCTAGAAGCGTTTGCCTAGTTGCACCATCCGTTCGTTTCGATGTCTGATGGGCTGATGCTCTCGTAGGCTTCGAACGTGTTGTGTCGGAGTGCAAATGTTTGCGTGCAAAAGTCTCGATAGATGGGGAAATTAGAACACAATCACTATGTTCCTCTCCGTATTGTTGAAGGCTGGTTATGCACCATCTCTTAATGAAGAAAGAGTAGAATGCGTGATCTAGGCTCGGGTTAGATGTCATTGCGATAGGCTGATATTCGTATATGTATCATCTGTACCTGCCTTTTGTGCAACTTGTTTCCCGACTGAATATACTCAAATTCCAGAAACTTGAGGTATCAAGAAAGTAAGGGAGATGCGAACCTATTTACCGGGAGAATCTTTGCCTCGAAATCTGTACAGAGGCCGAAACCACAAGATTCGAAATTCTCCACTCGAGAACTGGCCAGAAATGTGAATTTCGATAGATGACTGCTCGATTGTGTCTCGCCACTGCTTATTAGCTCTGCCAGTCCAACCTTGTTACGGCATGGGCAAGTCTTTGGCTCAACTTTCCTAAACCTAGATCCGCTCTCAGACAGACAACTCTAACCTCCTATTTTTAGCCTTCAGTGACCATGACAGAATGAAGACCGGTTGTGGCCCGAAACCGAGTTGTAAGAGGGTCCTGGGACACTAAATTTAGACTGATGCTCGTGATGGCGAGCGTGAAGATCGACAGTTTCGCCGACAAGCATGAGCTTTTAGGACGGAAAGCGACTTTGCTCATGCCGGCTAGCTTGAGCCGTAAACTAAACAATAAAAGTCTACTGAGTTCTTGAACCAGGTACTATATTTGCGGGTAGAATAATGTTTCACCACGTAAATATTGTACACCGAAGCGGAACGTCTGGAATAGCGTATGCTCGGGCCTTCCTCGAGCTAGCCCTAGTATATTCCTAGTCTAATAGAGATTCCTTTAGAATATTCTAAAAAAAAATAATCCTAGTCACTATTTATTGCTTATTAAACCGAGTATCATAAGTAATTAAGGATCATCCTCGATTTACATATTATTATACCTCGGGTTACTGTTAGGAAGCTTCTTGGCTAATTACTGACTACTTATATAAGAATATACATGTTCTTATAATTAGTCTAGTTTATAGTTTAAGGCTTTTAGCCCTTGTCTACCTGAAGACCTCGGGAAGTCATGTCTATATATAACTATTGCGCTGTTTCTCTAGTTCTTCTTAATGAAAAAGTCTTGGGTAATAAAGATGGTACCCGCTTGGACGGTTCCCGGTAAAGAGACCGGGGGAAAGCCCAGTAGCGGATTAGGCGCGGTTTATATTTAGATTTTATGGAGATGCGGGACCTATCAACAACCGTAGGGCCCAAAGCGGGTACCTAGAAAAGCCGCCCTATTCATTACCGAGAATGACTAGGGATAGTGCAAGGGTATTGACAGGCCCTAACCGGCGACTTCTTTATTGTCACCCGCGTGGAGGGGCCGAGGGACGTGGTAACATGCCAATGCTTTGGCCGGCCGCCTATTTTCGAGTCTATGGAGCGATGGTAGGTGGATGGCCATTGTGGGCCATAAATTAGGCGTTGAAAGCTTGCCACGTTATATTTACAAGGGTATAGCGGAATGCCGATTCCATTGGTTGTTGCCCTCTTCATTTTCAAGACATGAGTAGTAATACTACAGCTATTGCGACCGAAAGCCCTGAAGCGGGCGCAACAAGCGGCGCACCACCTTGTCCAATATGCCGGGATCCGTCTCCTTCCGCGCAGGAAATGCCAGTTCTGCGGCGCGCGCAAAGACGTCCTGGACGCATTCGCCGCTCGCACTGGAACATTCCATGTAATAGCTTGCCCCAATCTCGGCTGCTGCCATTGCCCCTTGCTTGCTCGAGACAAAGTTTTTGGTCCTGTCGAGGGACCCGTCTGTCACTTCCACCAGCGTGCGCAGGTCCTTTTTCAGCCCTACAAGCACGCATGGTGGACCAATATTGCCAGACTTTCTCTCGTGGATCATCTGTGGAGGCAGTGAGCAAGACGAACACGACAATTTAATTTTGCAAATCACCCACATTGCTTGTAATGTTTTGTAGTGCGTTTGGGTCATCGATTGAAAAGGCAAGTAAAATGACGTCTGCTTCGATTCGATGAAGAACTTGTATCGACTGTTGAAAATTGTAAATCCTGACTTCTTTGAGGGCAATTTCCGCCGATTGATTGTCCTCTTTGCAATCGATGATGTAGTCGTTAAATATAGATGGTGGCTTGCGTAATGTGTTAGTGTATATGGCCCATCTTCGATCACAGCTGAATTCTCACAGACAAGTACACGACTTACATGATGCTGTTACTCATTAGCCTCACCTCATCTTCACTCAATTCTGGGACCACGAACCTTGGGGAAAAATCCGAGTGCAAATACAGAAAGTAGACAGGTTTTCCCGCAAGACCTGTTCCCAATCACGACGATTCTGGTTCTTGTTGTAAGCTTCCAGGTAATTATTAAGCCTGTATAGGAACACCTACGCACCTGCGACGTAGACTCTTCTTTGCAAATATTGCCATAGTAAAAGAGTAATCAAGACGATAAACAGAGGTTACCCCGACACAAAGCCTGAGAGCACGCAGTAGCGAGAAAGCAAATTCCGTCTCTTTAAAGGTATATATGTGATGCTTAACCCGCTAGGCTATACCTCCACTTGGCTAGGAATGTTGAACCAGTTACGAGCTAACCCCTCTCTCCTGATTCTCGTATTTAGGCAATAGTCCGGGTACTGTGTTACAATCACAAGAGGAAGACAGTATATAAACAGGTAAATCGTACACCTAGCTAGATTAGGTTATATACTAAGGGTATCAAATCTATGAATGATATTTACATAGTATAAAGAAGCTATTCTTTTAGCTAAAAGTAACCAATATAAAAAAAATTAAATTACTATTTTAAAATAATAATTTACTTTATAAATTCTTTTTTTTTATAAAGTTATTTTTAATTAAAAAAAGTAAATTAAATAGTCTAATTTTAATAAATCTACTTATTAATTAAGATATAAAAACTTATAAGTTTAATAGATAACTAATAAAGATCTTAATTAATATAGTCTTTTAAAACCTTTAATTAACTATCTTATATAAAAAATAGAGAAATCTTAGTATAATTTATATTTAAAAAGATTAATATAAATAATAAAAAGATATATTTTAGGAAAAATTCTTAATATAATATAATATTTAAATCTAGATTTTTATATATAAAAATAGAGAAAAGAAGATATTTTTAATATTTTATTTCTATATCTTATCTACTAAAACTAGTTATACTAGTAATTTTCATATACTAACCTAATATATAACATTAAGATATTAAGATTAGGTAACTATATATAGAATATAATATAAAGGTATATATATATAAGAGTTATAAGATAAATTAAGGTAGAGCCTTCTTAGCTCCTAGCTTATAAGAATCGAGTGCTTTAATATATAATACAGTAATAATTATCTTTTTTAATAGACCTATATATAGTAGCTTTAGACTTCTAGGCCTAGGAGTATATTCCTTGTACCTAACAAAGACTAAACACCTAGTATAATACCAAAACTACTAGCTTTTCTACCCCCTAGTATAGCATATTATAATAAAGATATATAAAACCTAGAGTACTACTAAAAGGGACTATACTATTGAGCGTTATTAGGCAATACTAAGATACGCTGTATACTACGGCCCCTACTACGTAGACTATAAACAGCGCTATACACGACCTAAAAGAGTTATAGACACTTTCCACAAGCTCTAAGTCACAGAAAATCCAGGGCTAGAAAGCTCAGAGCAGACGACTATAGACAACAGAAAATAGAAAGCTTGACCTAGTCTCTAAACAACCCACCAGCGCAGAACAATAACGCAACAACAACCGGCAACACGGACGAGGTCGTCACAGAGATGTCGGACACGGTCGAAGGCGGCATCACGATACCCCAACAGGAGGTCTACCTCCCCGCTGCGGGAGGAGATGAGCACAACGCGTTGTACAACGTGTTGTACGTATAGTTTTGCCCGTGTTTGCAGGGCAAACATTGAAAAACACTCATCCCTCCTTCGCGACCGCCTCTAACATTAAATGCGACGGCTTTCGATTGGATAGTGCTGAGTAGTAGACACTTAAGCGAACAATTTATATTAAAAGCTAAGAGACCATCCATCTACCTTATAAAATAATTATTAGTCAAGGAAGAAAAAATAAACGTTGTAACGTAGGTAGCTTGTAAGCCTATTAACCCAGTATACCCAATGCTGCCTTTCGCGCCGTAATAGCGGCCACAACCGGTACGAGGTCCAGCGTGCTCAGGGTTCGCTCTGAACGCGTCCACCCCAACTCCTCAGGCAGTCTCTCCTCTGTTAACCACACCTTTACACGATCTTTGGGCGCTTTCCACGTCTGTATAAAGGGCAGGCTGAAAGCAGACGGCACTGGACCTTCCTTCATCATCATTAGCAACAGGGCAGCCTCTCCAAGCGCTATTGCGTCATGCTGTGGTGGTATCCGCGCTGGCGCAGATAATTTCTCGACACGGACGCGACTTTTTGCGAGAGACGTAATGTCTAGGTAGTCTGTTGGGCTGTCGTCTAGCAGAGCAGATATCCGGGCAGGGACCTGGGCGATGTTCGCCTCTGTAGGCGTTACGTCATCGCGTGACAAGGAGGCGATATGCTGAAGAAGACCGGGTGTATTGAGGTCCTCAAGGTCAAGGGTACCACGGCCCAAGGCAAGCGTAAGCACGCGCGCAGGCAACGTGCCGATTGAGGGGTCCATATTGAGGCCTTCGGAGACGGCTTTGCCGAACTGCTCTACCGTGATGTTTCGGCCGTCATGTGGTCTTATTGGTTCAATATTAGCTTTGCTGCTACTGCATCTGTCGCATGGGCTTGGAATGAGCTTACAGGTAGCCATGGTTAGCTAGTGTATTGATCATTGGACAAGGACTGCGAGAATCATCTGCGCCTGGGGCTTGCCATGGGCTTATGCCTTGTGCGGCGACAGTCAAGGCAGCCAGGATAGCAAGAAATGAGTACAACATGGTAGTAGGAGGCTCCCTTATTGATAATACCAAGTAGAATGTAGAATGAAAGATGTCTATCAACTTTACTAGAGTAGCGAGGACAAGTAACAGGTTATATATAGACATTCTTCTCCAGGTCCCAGGGCCACCAATCAGTGGATCGCAACACATTGACATTGCTAACGTTTAAGATAGTCTGGCTACACGACAAGGTAGTGACGAGTAATCAACAGATCTGTGCATCGTCTATGGTACAATATTAAATTTCAGGGGCGTAGAACAAGGTGTCTTGCGCAACAAAGGGCTAACCCGGCCCGCAGATCAGGTTTTCTCGTCTCGTCCTATTGGCCGTTGAGCAGCTTGATATTGAGGCATAGCCGTCGGGACGATTACGAGATTTTGACAAGAAAGCTTTGAGGTGGTCTACGCGTGTGGAACTGCGGGAGCTTCTAGCGCCAACCCTCCGAGCGCGAAACTTTATTGATAATTGAGCCCTCCTGATTGGCTCCTGGATTAGACTCGTCCGAGTGGCCCAAACGCTGAGCTGAGCAGTCCTGAAACTTCGATTCTCGCTGCGATGAGGATATCATGGATACGGTGGGATGTTAGGCAAAATAACTGCAACGTCCGCTAAACAGCAACGTCACGCATTCGAGAACTCAGGAATACGTATACTGGGCCCTTGAAGCTTGTTTTTATGGCAAAATGACCTTAAATTGATCGGATTTTAGCTATTTCCTATCGCTGAGCCTTTTCCGGCCATGTCACTGATGTGAACCGTGTTTTTGAGGCGTTTAGAGGCGTTCAAGTAGCTATTTGATAGATATGTTCAATCAAGCAGCTAAAACAAGGCTTGATTACGACCGCGATGCCCGTGCTTTGGCTGTTGCCTTCATTCCAACGACCAAAGCGGATTAATCGAGAAGGACTTGATTACGACCGTGTTGCTCGTGCTTTGGCTGTTGCCTTGATTCCACGACCGAAGCGAGTTAACCGAGAAGGAATTGGAGGCTGATCATCGCTATTATTATATGGGTCCGTGGCCGTTTTCTGGAGGGCTGATGATTCTGATGATCTCGGGCCTCCTTTGGGACTTCCTGATCCTCGCCTACTAGATCTATTTGATGCTCGTCATCTTCTATTTGTTCCCTATCTTCCTGATCCTCTTGCTGAGCCTATGAGTCACTCACATCAGCTTCTGCTAGCGGAAAGAGTAACGGGCTGGGCCGTTGAGGTGTACTCGATACCGATGCAATAAAGCCAGCTCCTTGAGAGCATCTAGTTCTTTTTCTCTACAATGCAATTTGTTGGTCCGTAGCACGCTTCTAGCTAAATAAGTTCCATAGCTAAGGTTGCTCTTGAATCAAATCACATCGAACAAGTGACCAAACAAATCGAATGAATTAAATAAATAAATACGAAGTTTTCCTTAAACATAGGAATATATAACTTCAGATTTAATTTGCATTTAATATATTTGATTTGACCTGTTTTTTTTTTCGATCTTTCCGGTATAAGAGGCTTAGCGGTAACTAGCGCTACCCTAAAATAAGAGATACTCATGCCTCCAAATAGACACCTCGCTAGTTCCGTCTACGTTCTCTTTTTTGAAATCGCGGAACGATCAATATGTCTAAAAAAATCTTGATCGCGGAAAGGCTCCAAGGGCCGGAAGAGCTGAATCAATCTCCATAGGCTATTCGTTGCTAAGCTTGATGCCAATCACAGCCCGCTGAACGCCTACTAGGTTTGCCGTCTCTACACATGCAGTTCTATAGAATCGTGTTCCGTCTAGATTATTACAGATGCAATTTTCTATAGTTATATTACTAAATATTATTAGTTATAATAGCTTACCTATATATAGCTTAAAAGAGTTCTCTATTATCTTTAGTATATAATATTATTTTAGAGTAATTACTAGCTAAGTAACTTTAAAGAAGCTCTCTAAACTTATATAAAAGTCTTAAAATAGTTAACTATACGTTATATTATATTTATAAGTAGCTTAGCTTATATTAGTTATTATATAGTAATAAATTCATTTTTTAGTATTTATTTACTTTAAGTATAGTTATTAAGATTATAATATAAATATTATTTAGTATTATAAGCAGATATTAAGTAAAGTATTACTAGTAAAGACTTTTTAACTATCTAATAAACCTTAAGAGATATTTTAAAGAAAGCTATTTATATACTTAATTAAAAATATATACCTTTACTATCTTTTAAATTAAGA